TTGCATTAGAAGCATTTAGAAATCTGCAAGCTTAGAGAGCGTTTTTCTTTTTTCTAAGTTGTTTTCATAGGTGCCAAGCTCCCCCACCCCCTCCAAACTCCCGCACCTCCTCCACCCCATCATGTTGCGCCAGCACTTGTATGCGCAGCACATGCTTCAGCCTCTGCGGTATTTTTAGCAGCCATTGTAGACGCCCGGCTCCGTTTTCCTGCCGCTCTCAAACCACCGACAATCGACGAGATCAGCAGAAGCCTGGCAGAAAGTGTTGGCCTGACGGTGAGCTGAAGCAAGTTTCTACTAGAGGAACGAACAAGGAAGCAGAGAAACTCTTCTTCTTCTTCTTTTTTTTTTTTTTTGTTCTTGAGCTCAACCCGCCTCCCACTCTGGGGCTAAAAGTTTCCATTGTGAGAGAGAGTGAGAAAGAGAGAGTGAGTGAGAGAGAGAGAGACATACACACGTGAGAGTGGATGGGTGGGGGCAGGGGACTGGTGAACTTTTCACAAGTGAGATTCTGACACTCTTCTCTCTCGCCCGGCCTCTTGCTCAAGTTTATGGCGACGCATAAATCCACCCAGCGGTTCAAAAAGAAAAAAAGGAAAAAAGAGGAAAGGTTAATGAAAGTTATGTCTTTGATTGCCATTAGAGCCCATCTCACTCTGCCCCGCTGCCACGCCTTCACTTGGGAGCTTTTGTGCGCGAGGTCTGTGGAAAATTACCACTCCCAGGAGCTGCCAGAGACCATCCGAGGAAAATCCCCAAGACCCCACATTGTCTTAAGATAAAGAGCAGAACCTCGATACGGCTTTGTTTTCCCTCCCCGCCCTCCCACTAAACATTCATCTGCAGTGGTTTTCTTTTGTTGTGTTTTTGTTTTTGTTTTTTTTACATATTGGTTATAATATGCACTGATTTCCTTCTTCTAACCCAAACTTTTTGACGTTCCTCAGGTCTGTCGCACACGCCCCGCTCCGACAAATCTGAAATCTCTTTCACGATCAGCGACAAGTCCTCGTACGAGAGGTACATCAAGAGCATGAAGGCGTTCCTCGAGCCATACGACAAAGACAAGCAGGAACAAAATCAGAATTATGAAAATTGCACTGGCAAGTATCAAGGCATTGTCACATTTGATCACTGACTGGCGTGTGACACATAGCTATGGAGATTCTGCATTTTCTCACGTCAAACACGTTCAATTGTGGATTTAATTATTTGTATTTTTTTGTGTGTGTCTTTTGGTTCACTATTTGCAGACACCCCCAAGACATACACGGACCGCGGCAAACTCGAGGACGATTATGGAGTGAGGAAAAGTTGTTATTTCTTCAGAAACCATCTTGGAAGCTGCTCCGGGGAAATCGACGAGACTTTCGGCTTCAGTGAAGGAAAGCCGTGCCTCATCGTCAAGCTCAACAGGATTGTCAATTTCAGACCAAAGGTGTGTGTCCCGTGCGTGGAGCTGCTGGTTTTTCCTTGAAAAGATTAAAACCAAACCGCAGATCACACTGTTCAAAGTCAGCAACTCTGTGAGTTTCTCCCTCAGCTTCTAATGTGCTTTCACATTTGCTGCTGGTTCGTATCGCCCTCAAACAAGCCTCCTGATTAGGGAGGTTGCCTCTAAGTGGAAGCGGACAGGGACACAACAGTTAGCCCAGACTCCTGTCATCCTGTCTCGGAATTGAACTAGCAGTAACATAGCAGAGAGAAAGGAGAAAAGGGAGCGTAGGAGCGGCGTGTACACAAGGATGTTTGGCAGCGCTAAGACCCTTCGATATCCTTCGATTGGCGTATATCTGCAGGAGTTTGCTCTTTGCTTTGGGAGCAAATTTGTAAGCTAAAATATTTCCAAACACCAAGATTTGTTTTTCTTAGAAGGCACTGAAGGTTATTCAGTTAGTGGGGCAGGAGTGCACAGAAACAGGTGGGGGAGAGGCAACTTGCCTGTCTCGATACATTTGAGTCAACTCTGTCTGGCATCCCAGTTTATCCAGTAAAGCAGTTTGGTGTGTCATGATATGAAATCCATGCCTTATACATAAAGCATTATGAACACTAATTTGATTCTTTTAGCTAGCTAACAGTGTTGTCAACATTCTGCTAGACAATCGACGATACGGCTGAAAAAAGTATCGCGATGCCAGCGTTTCATATCAGTCGATATCGAAAAGTGTCGACGTGTCTTTTTGTTTTTAATACCTGGAATGCTGACAAACCGATGGCTTGACCTGTCTAGATTGATCCAGTTTTCACTCCACGCAGTTTGAGGCACTGCTGCTTACTTAACAGGTTGTTGCTAGGTAACCAGGGAGCGATGCCCTCAACCTTCCTCGGCTGGTTGTGAGAGGTTGAGCAGCTTTCCTCTGCCTGTATCCCCCAGAATGCTGTGCGGTCCGGTGAAATGACTGAAAATGCTATCAGACGTATTACCTGTTGACATTGATCGCGTGTCAATGGCGACACGTTATTATCGATTCATTGTCCAGTCTTTCTTACATGTGTTTCCTGAGCATAAATGTGCGTATTTAAAATAGCATTTTGAAGCGTCATCACGCGCATGATTCATTTCTGTTCATTAGCGTGGCCCCTAGTGTTTAAAACCTTTATGTAAACCTGACGAGAAGCAAGTGCTGAATAATATGTAAGAGCACCTGGGTGATTGTTTGACGTGGCTGAGGGGAAGTTGGTGAGTTTTCCACGCAGCGCGGTTCTGATTTTGATTCAGGTGGTTGACAGAAACATACTTGGCCTAAAGGGGAAACCCGGCAACATGAAACATTAAAGTTACAGGTTTCACACACACACACACACACATTACATCTCAGACCTTCCTATGAGTGCACTGAAGCTGCAGACCGGCGCTGGAGCTAGCATGTTTCCTGTTTCCTATTGCATCATGCGACTGGTGATGGAGTCGAACGCTTCTGCAGGACGAGTTAAATTATTGTGCACCAGTTAGTTTTTAATAGGCTGAACAAATAAGCCAATAATAATACTTATCACCATAGACACATCGATAGATGATGAGTCTGAGAATGGTCAATAGTGCCAGTGCCTACCGAGTCAGAACCGCACGGCATTCTGGGGGATGTAGGCAGAGGAAAGGCTTTAGCTGTTCAGGCAAAGTCTGACTCGCTCTCTTGTTACCTAGCAATAACCTGTGGAGCAGCAGTTTAAGATTTCACTGCCTAAAATATATTTAAAATAAGTGAAATCTGTAGTTAAAACAGAAAAGGTCACATCAGTTTGGGAGTATTTAGGATATTTAAAACTAAACACTAATCAATGATTATTGATATTGACTGATAGAAAATGCTTATCTGCTCTCTGTCTTCAGCCTCCCACCGACAACAACTCCCTTCCTGATGCTCTGAAAGGCAAAACCTATGAAAACTTCATCCCCATCCACTGCAAGAACAAGGTGAGTTTGTGTATTTCATTCCTTCCGCTCAAGAACGACCATCGGTCTGCAGAGCCAAGGGCTTCCCTGCTTGCTGCTTAGCACTAACTCAGCGCTTCCCTCCCACAGAGGGAGGAAGACGAAGGCAAGATCGGAGAGATCAAGTACTTCGGGCTCGGTGGGCTCGCCGGTTTCCCCCTCCAGTACTACCCGTACTACGGCAAGCGGCTGCATCCCGATTACCTGCAGCCTCTGGTGGCCATCCAGTTCACCAACCTCACCCTGAAGGAGGAGCTCCGCATCGAGTGCAAAGTTTACGGCGACAACATCGACTACAACGAGAAGGACCGCTATCAGGGACGTTTTGACGTTAAGTTCACTGTGAACTCGTGACCCCAGGCACGATGAGCGCACACATAAAAGAAAAAAAAAAACCAACGTAGAAAGATATTCAAGAGTTAAGATAAAAAATTAAAAAAAACAAAAACAAACAAAAAACAACCACCACTAACTAGTCTTTGAACAGTCATTATTTACAGGACCTACACTTAATCCGTGTGCTTTACACTAGCTTTTCCCGTGTTTTCTGTCCGGTTAGAATGTAAAATACGCTAAAACGTGAGAAAAAAAAAAGAGGTAGCAATAGCAAATATTTATTCTACTGTAAATGGGGTGGGAGGGTAAAAAAAAAAATTAAAAAAAATAGAGAAAAAAAAATCCTCGAGCCATGGGATGTTCATCGATTACTGTAAAACTGCAGTTTCACTACTGATGTGTAGCGAGTCGTGTCTCTGTCCCCCCATGGTGTTTCATCCTCACGTGGTTTCTATATATTTTTGAAGTGTCCAGAGTTTGTAGGCTAGCCCCGTCGTGATCTCCTGTCTTATGTCCGCTTTAGTGGTCCAAGGTGTGTGTGTGTGCGCAGGTGTGTGTGCGCTCACTCGCTCGCTTGCTCGTGTCCGTGCAGGCGTCTGTAGTTTATGTGAGTGCGTGGAGTGTTTGTCAATGTGCTCAGACTAACTGAAATACTAGCATGGTACTCTGAACCTTTAAGACCCATGTGTTGAGTAAAGATGACTGCGCTCCATCTTTTTCGTTTTTATGCATTTTTCCTTATTCAAGTTCGCCGTAGAATATGTTTGCTCACTTTTTCTTTTCTTTTTTTTCTCCTCCGCTTCACAATTAGGTTGTGTGTTTTTTTTTTTAGACGACAGTTCTGTTTGATACTCTTAACATCAGTTCATTCTTACTAGTGTAAAAGTTTTGTGGGTCCAGCCTAAGAAGACTGTCACCTCCATGGAAATCATGGCAACTCAGTGCTTTTGAAATCTGCTTTGCTGGAGACGTCACGTTCCGTGACGTACCTTACTATTGAATGTTTTTAGCCATTTTCATAATGGAAGAATTTTATATTTATGCAGTTGTACATTTTTTTCCTTTTCTTTTTTTTTTTTTTTTTTTTTTTTTCTTTTTTTCAACGTGTGATGTTTATGAATCCAATACCAAAGTCGCTGGTCTAAAAAGTTCCGAGAAAATCAAAGGCAATGCAGTATCATGTGTAATAAAGATGTTGTAGTGGGTGTGAAAAAAAAAAACTACTTAATTCAATGTTTGAGATCAAAAACACATCAGGAGTCTGATCTTGTCACTTTATTTAATCTGCATAAGGCTGAAACAATAAACGGAAAATTGAGACAACAGAGAAGTCTTTGTGGTGAATGAAGCGTCTTTCCTCCTTTGCTTTCATTCGTCCAAAATCCTGAAGAAATATTGCACCTGGAGAAGATATTCCAAGTTACTCTCATTTTCGCCAACAAATGTAAAAGACAAAATAATAATAATAAAGCGGCGTTCTTAAAAAGCACAGAGGAAAACAGCTTGTTCTGCGTTGCACTGATGACATCACAAGAGGCCCGGGAAGTAAAGCCGATCCACTGGCGTTGCGACACAAAGGACTTTCAACTGATTTCTACACAGATTCTGAAAATCTGAGTTTCATTCCCGCCAACCCTGATTCTCAAAGAAATGGATCAACAATAAAAAACATGGAATCAGTGTGCACCTATGTTTTTTATAGTTATTTATACATTTTTCTGCAGCATTTTTGAATTGGAGAATCAAAAATAGAAGTGAAAGAAGGCGGAAAAATTGAAGAGGAACTTAAAAGCACTCGGATAAGTTTCCTCATATGATGTCATTAAAGTCACTTAAAAGCTTTTTTTTTTCTTCGATTTTGTCCTCATTACATAATGTTTCAAACCAAAATGGCAGAAAAAAAAAGACTTTCCACTGTTGGTGAAATAAACCTAACAGAGTTTGGTGGATTATATGAGACATGCCAGTTAGCACACTGCTAAATGTTTCTAGCGCAAACATCTTAATACTTTTTAAATAAGGCAAAACAAACTTACAAGTAATTTTATAGCCAGATATAGGAACTGGCTTTGAGTTAATAATCCTTAGTTAATAACTGGTGGATTAATTCACTTATGGGAAAAAATGTCTTGTTATAAATGAAAATATCTGCCAATACAACTGGCAGTTTTCCATCAATATTAATATTAATCATCGTTTACTGAAAACAAGCTCTTACATCTTGCTGAAAAGTTACTTGTAAGTTACTTTTGTCTCACCAGGATATTTATGCTAGGAACTAGACCAAAATTACTTGGTAAGACTTTGTGCTTTTGCAGTGCAGCCTTAAAGGAAATGTATCACAGTATTATCTGAATCCATTTATTATTCGTCCAACTCATGTCGAACCCAGGTGTCTGACATCACACGCAGTAACACTCAGCCCCTCTCCTCTGCACAGGCCCTTTCTTGGTCACTCTGTTTCCAGTCTTGGGAAAATGGCAGCCCAGTTGGCCACAGGCTAATGTTTAACAAGGAAGCGTTTGTCCTGGGTTACAGATCAGGAGTTCTCCCGAACAATGACGTCCGATTGGTCAGACCCACTGCCTGCGAAAACAATGGTTTTGTTTCAAATTCCTCTGCCACTCTTGTTCTCCTCAAAACCAGCGTGATCTGAGGTTGCCCCGGCCCACAGAGCGGAGTCATGGGACTTGTCTAAAGACGCGGCTTCACAGAGTTGAGGGGACTTTGTTCTTGGACGAATGCAAGGTGGCTGCTTATGCACGGGGCCGTAAGACAATGACGAGACTCATTGGTGGGGTGAGAACAGTCGTGCTGATGGAAACATGTGGGAGTGGCATAAGGAATCTAGCAACAGCACACACACGCGCGCGCACACACACACACGCACACACACATGCACCCTCCATTTTTTTTCCCCTCTTCTTCTTCTGTTAGTCCTGCTGTGGCCACACACTTCCATGTACTTTGTTGGCAGCTCATAATTGTGAACAAGGAGAAAAAGTGTACCATTCTTTGAGACCAAAGTCCCAGACTGAAGACTTTTATCATCTAGTTTTTAGTAGAAAAAGTAAAAAAAAAATGCTAAATGGAAATGATTGAGCCTGTTTTAATTTATCATGTGATTAATGGATTTGTTGCTTAATAGCACAAAGTTTCTCAGTTGGCAACAGTGGGTGGCTGTTGTGGGAGTGGCATCTGATTACAACAGAGCATGTGCAGATTCAAATTTGAATCCGAGAGATTTTGCTGATCCCAAACGGAAACTGAATGTTGTGACTCATATCAGTGGTCAGGACTCTCATGGGACAGTGGACGATTTTCAGACCTTTGTGGCTGAGATGAGATCAGTTTAAGAAAACTGGGGCGAATCTAATCTGAAACACCGTGTGTACCTCTGGGTATGCGTTTAGTTTTTCGCGTCCTTTTCATTCATGACTCGTTGTAAATTGGGTGTCTTCTGAAGGCAGGTGGTTGGAATGGATTATATTATGGGGTATCACACAACAGCAGATTTACATTTGTACAAAAAACAAAAAAAGATCAGTAGATAATGCACTGTTTTCCCTTTTATTTCAATATTACATTGTTTTTGTAACATGAAACAGGTAGGAAATCTAAAAAAGCTTAGGGATTCAAGTATAATCTGGTCACAGTGAGGGCGTGTGTGTGTGTGTGTGTGTGTGTGTGTGCGTGCGTGTGAGACCCACCTCCAGAACACCGTCCTCTGGGAGGTCTGTGCAGTGCACTGCGTTCCTCACTTTGTCTTTGCCATAAAGGCCGCGCAGCGTGTTGGGACGGAGGTGCCGCGCGATTTCCTGTTGCATGAAAACAGTCTGATTGTTATATCTTTCCCCGGTTAACACAAGGACACATCGTCCCACTGTCATTCAGCTGAGACTTTCAGCAGCAGCAGCAGCAGCTGGTGAGACGCGCTCCGGCGTCCAGACGTCAAACTCCTGCGTGGATGATGCAGCCGAGGTTGGAAACTGAACATCCTGTCCTCTCGCTGCGTTAATAAAATTGTGATTACTCAGCAGCTGGTCATGTGATCCTGGAGGAGAAGTGGAAAAAAAAACAAAACAAAAAAAAAAAAAACAACAAACGCTGACATGCAGGAAAGCTTTCGTGGACTCCAAGGGGGGAGACTTAAAAAGGGATGTTTTGGTTTTAGTTTTATGTGGAGCTCATGTAACGAGCGACAGCACTGGACCGGATGAAACGGCAACATTACAAACAACTTAGCTCTATTACTTCTGTAGGAAACTTGAAAGCATTTCTCATTTATTGGTATATCACAAATCTTCCCAACACCTGCACCAGCTCGTTTCCTCTGCCTTCTTCTTCTTTTGAGTCTAAATGTCTGTTTCCTCTCGACGTCAGACACTCCCAAGGTCAAAGCCGGGCTCCGTTGCCGTGCGCGTCTCCAGGAAATGCAACCTTCCCCACGGCGTCTGCCGTAAAGAGGGAGGGGTAGCTTGCGAATAATTCATTTACTAAGAACACTGTTGACTCCCTGTCCGTGGAAATCTTGGACAATAACCGCTGCTAATAATCTTTAACATTAATTCTTGGATCACCAGTAAGACGGTTTGGAAATGTCCCAGAAGCCTGAGGGGATGTGAGATTTTCCATGTTCAGGGTCGGACTGGCTCTCAGGAAACATTTTCCTGTAACCGCCATAACTCTGTCTAGGAAATAAACTACTCTGACCTCCAACCTGGTTAAGGGGAAAAAAACAAAGATGGCGCTTGAAGGACTTCAGGAGGTTTAGGTCAACCTGCTTTTATTTGAGCCTCTTTCTTTTCTCCTTCTTTGTTCCGGTGTCTCTCTTGCGTTTCATTTTCAACTCGAATTGATTCATTAACACAGCGTCAATCTGCGTCGATTTCAAAAGAACAATGATTTTATCTCCGTTTTAAACTGCACTAAGACAATAAGATGTTCATAAAAACACACAGGGTTCGTAAAATGATGCTATTTGTGGAAAAACTATGTAAAAAAACAAAACAGGGCATGGTTGAACACAATGAGAAGGAGAAGCCTGTGGCTGCAGATTGTTGCTCAATAGAGTCCAGAGGGCCACATAAAATGTTATGGCGGACCAAATTTGGCCCTGAGCCTCGGGTTTGATGCACAACGTAAATAAATCCCAGCATATTTCACAACAGAGCGTACAGCTTTGAGAAGAGCTTCAAGTTCATCTCATCATGCTGAAGGGGCAGAATTATGTAAAATCAACTTTTTTTCTTTAGCTTCATATCATGTTATAATGTTATTCCCTCATTATAAACATACCTGGAGTGGTGCTGTGATAAAATAGAGGATGACTTCCTGAGGGCAGAGTTTCAGAAAGACCAGGAGTTTTTAAAGAGACAGGGGCCCAATTTTAAATTACAAAGTCAAATTTCTTTTAAGTCGTATTTGATATATAAAACATTTTATAATGACTGAAGTTACTTGATTATGGTGCAAAATGGAAATCACCTAATAATGCCTCTTTCGTAGAATTTTATTGTATTTTTTTCTGTTTGAATGCCAACATTTGTATTGTGTACAGTTGTTAACAGGGAGAGTCGTGTTTGAAACTTTCCACGTCAAATATCAGCGCGCTCTCATAAAACCAGCAAAAACAAAGATTAGCACAACTCTTAACTGTTGTCTTTCTGGATTGTATTCTGCTGTTAACAGTTCATTTAAAAATCAGTGTTATGATGAGGATATTCCAATAAGTAGTGAGGTGAAAACAAAGGAGGACATCAGCTGTTGAACCTCTATTGATTCGATGAGCTGCCTGCTGCAGACCCGTCCATGCTGCGCTTCAAAGGAGCAGGAGGACAAATCTGCGAGGACGAGGCGCCGCTCCCTGCGACCGTATTGGCCAACGATGAGGTACGCTTCAGCGTGACGGACCGGGGTTCCTGTAACTGCTACCATGTGTGGGCGGTGAGGACTTAGAAGTCACATGACCGCCCAGAAACGGCTGATGTCCTTCCCACCCTGCAGAGGTCAGGGAAAGGATGTCCACGGCGTTTACACACACGCACGCACACACACACACACACGCACGCACACGCGCGCGCACACACACAGTGCTTACTGACTCACAAGGTGAGTAATTGTTGAAAATATGTCTCTATCCGCCAATGTAGCCAGGTATTTATGTACATTAGGTTAGAGTTTAGATCCCGACCCAAATGATTACTTTTATTTATAGGTCTGAGCCCTAAGCTACAAAAATGAAAATAAATCAATAATAATAATAATAATAAATTATGAGAATCAAATCTAAATAATATCAGAATAAAGCTGTATTACTACTTTATTCTCATAAATATTAGAATATGTATTGGAATAAATATTCTAATAAACATCTATTTACTAGAATATTGAAGTAATATTACCTAATAGCATTACTTATGAAGTAATATGACTTTATTCTTATATTATTTCGACTTTATTTCAGTGATATTATGACGCTCTTCTTGTAATTTTATTTTTTCTCAATATGACTAATATTCTGTCACACGAAATAAACCCATCATCTTATTTTAATTACAACTGTACTGCTTTCTCCTGTTTGCAGCCGTTGCTTTGCTCCATTTTGTTGCTTGTTGTGATGGCAGGTGAGTCAGGTGCAAATCATCTGGGACGTGCGATTGACAGGGTCCAATCTGCTGTATGCGCGAGCATCTGATGAGCTTCTGCTGCCTACTTCCTGTCTTTATTCCCTCCACGGGTTAGATTACCATAAGAAGATTAACACAACTTCATATTGTGCTTTCTCTGTGCTGGATGTTTTCCAGACTCATTGAAAAGGCGTCAGAAGTCCCAGCAAGACGCGACTATCAAGCAAATCATTCTGCTCTTTCATTTAGGAAATCTAAACTGCCATAGCTGGACACCCTCTGCAGCATTGGAGTTTTATTGAGGGGTAGCAGAGTACGCATTATTTAACAGCAACTCTAAATTTATCGCAGTGGCAGCAGCTGGTGTCATCTTACCTATTATGGGAAAGAAAATCGATAGGAAAAAATATAGCCTCCAGCACAAAGAGAAGCTTTTAAGCCCTTTGTTTGTGGTCATTATAAAACACAATATATGTAAAAACGGCGCTGTGTCGCATGTCGCAGGCACGGCTTCTTCTGTTACTGATTTAAAGGGGAAGCATTTACTTTTAGGGAAATCAATCTCTGTGGAATGCACTTCAGAACCGGCTAACAGGGCAGAACCGTGTCCCCTCGCTCCCACACCAGGGCCCCGTCACGAGACGAGAGCACGATCCCGTGACTGACTGGCTGTGGAGCAAGGCAGCAGGAAGGTTTAGGTGTGAGTCTGTGTGTGTGCGCAACTCCTTTTGCACTGAGATGGTTCACGTTCTCTCCAATAAAGAAACATTAGAGTCAATTGATTTGACCTCGGCAGCCAGCTGTACAGTCACGGTGAGTCCCATCAGACCTGTGCTGTTTATAGATTAGTCAGCCGGAACAAATCCATAGCTTATTCTCAGCACAAATAACTAAGCCTCCTACTGGTAAAAGACGCTTTGACCTCCTCGTCCAGTCGCAGAGTTAGTTACGGAGAAAGTTCAGCCTTATCTCTTAATTCCGTAATAACGCCTGGAATGTCTTTACGCTCCAGTCAGCAAGAAAATGTTCCATACTTTGGGAGCCATCCAGACGCCGCGACTTGAGGCTGCACAATCTAAAACAGCTGAGGACAGGGAGCGCTAACGTTTAGGTTAGCGCTGAGAAAATGCTACTGCGGGTGGCGAGGTCACACGGTGATGAAACAGCTTGACCTTCCTTCTCGGTGTGGGAAGTCTGAAGCAATCAAAGTGCTGACCGTCAAAAGAGTCCCGAACGGGGCGAGCGGCGCGGAACGGAACGGCAGCAGATGAAAGAGGCGACCTCTGCGGCAGTGTCAGAGATAAAGTAAAGAAATAGTTCAAGACCTAAGAGGATGTTTTCAAATGTTAACTTCACAGACAGAGACGGGAGCGCAGCAATCTTGATGGTCAATTTTACTTTCATTCAGCCAACTTCACTGTCACTATTTTTTTAAAAATATATTCTGCATGGGCTTTAATTGGATCGTCTATTATTTATCGTGAGAGATTTCTCATCCTGATAAGAATCTTAATTTATCGTTGGAATTGAGGTTGAAGGCTACAAACGAACTCTATTTGGCAAAACGGCTACGGGAACATTTTCCTGCATCACACGAGTCGCGTAATCTACGAATGTCGGAAAATAGGTTGTAGCATGGCGCTTTGTTGGCGCCATGCTACAACCAGAAGGGTAATCTGATGCTGATTTATAGAAAAATCAAGCAATATGTCAGCTGTTAACAGAGCTTGCCACCGAGCTCTTTGAGCGTGTCACAGATGGACAGAACAACGCAGAACACCAACGTGTGATCAGACGAGTCCATGTTTCAGATTACTGTCGGGATGAGACAAACTAACAAAGCTGTTGCCACCAAAAAGCCATATGTTCCCTTCAAAGTGACATCTTTTTAGGATTTCAGACTCCTTAAATCTAAACTCTCACATTTACCGAGAAGAACAAACACAGACTTCTCCAGCCGCATCAGTTAGCATGCTTACTGTCAAAATGTCCAAATGCCTGTCACTAAAAATATACCATCACCTTCGTCCTGTTCTTTCTTGTTGCACTGGTTTTGTCGTACTGACGGTACATGGGCTGAACTCTTTGAACTCTTTACAAAGCAAATATTAATCAAACCAGCTGCACCCTGCAGCCGACTGAGATATTGGCTGTACATTGTATATGATCCAAGGCTGCGACTAAGTTTGAAATACTATTTTACTTTATCGCTGCATTATTACTGCAATAAATCTCAAGAGAAACTTATAATTCCATATTGCCCAACTCCAGCTGACAAAATGACAATAATTGTGTCTTTTAGTGGTTGAAATACGTTCAAATTTGTAAATTCTAGCAGCTCAGTTGCAGTACTTTCTACAATAACGTTGTTATTTTTAGAGCAGAATTTTCTTTTGCGAGCCTCTGACAAGAAAAGCTGACCAATTATGCGATAGTTTTTATCATCACTTTATTGCTATCACAATAAATTCCATAAATGCCATCATAGTTAAGGGCCATATTGCCCTCCACTGTTCTGGAGTTAGAATTTGGTTCTAGAAATAAGCTCAAGCCCAACTTATCAGTACTCTGTGTTCACCTGAGAAAACACAGGTACTACAAACTAAAAACATGGCAGCCATGTTGGCGTTTGTAAGAACTGTAAAAAATGTAATGTACACCTTGAAATGTGACTTCTCTTCCTGATCATTTATCTACCTTCAATTGGGACAATTTTACTTTAAACTTTGGCTGTCCTATGATTTTGAAGTGACTTTAAAGTACAGTTGTACTTGGAAAACTTTAATTTACATCTCTTGTTCTGGAACTGGTTTTTTCTGCTGCTGCTTTTTGAATATTTAAGGGCTTAAAATCAGAGGGATGTTGCAGTTTCTGTATCAATGTTACAAAAGAAAATGTGACTGTAGTTACTTAGCAAATACAAAAAAAAAGAGAAGCCTAATAGACATGTGATGATAAATTCCTTTAGCTAATTATCAGAAGCTTGTTCCTCTTTTGTGGTTTTGATGGAAAGAACATGTCTCAGTGTTTCAAGGGAGGACAGATGGATGGTGAAACGGAGGGGAAAAAAACTGAAAAGATCTGCGTCAGAGAGAAAAACAAGCTGACCCTTTGAAATTATTAACATAATACAGAGCTGAGTCATCGGTCGCAGCTGCATTTGAAGGAGAACGTCTGCAGGTATGTTGTGCAGCACTCATGCTGACCAAGCACAGCCTCTTCATCTGATTTCACATCAAGAGTTGTCCTTGCTGTAATCGACGGCAAACACGCCCACACGCTCTTCACCGGTTGGTTTCAGGACTGTGAGTTAGCTTGAGCTATGAACTGTTTCACAGATACGGCGCACAGGTAATGTTATTTATAGAGCACATTTTCAGCCACAAGGCAATATAAAGTGCTTTACAGGAATCAAAAGGAAATGCAAACAAAATAACAAACCAAAAGAAAGAGCAAAAGAGATACTCCTATTCAGGGTTTGTAGATAAGTATAAGTAACTATCCTCTGGTCAAATTCCTTTTCTGGTTTGGAAAACAGCCATAAAATTGAAACAAGTTAAGCTGCCTTGATTTGAAACTGAACATCATATATAGGAGCTTTCAATTAAAAAGAGACAAAGATCAGAGATAGCTCATCTAACTGTAGCTTTAAGTCCGTATAAAGAGCAAACATCTGCAGCTAAAAAAATACAATAGAAGTTTGATTAAAAAAAAAAAAAGACTGGGTTTCTGTAAGAATTGCACTCTGAACCACAAATGTATAAAACTTCACCAAACATGAGCCTGATAAATTAATGGTGATTCAAAAATTAATCTAAAAATACATTTCCAAACTCCCTCTTGTTGTTCCTCATATTAAGTCGACTGCTGCTGCTGCTGCTGCTGCAGGTGCTGCTGCAGGTGCTGCTGCAGGTGCTGCTAGTGTAAGACACAATAAGAACGGTACTCACAGGGTCGGAAGGTCCGCATAATTCTCTGAAAGACTTTGGTATATCTGCACCTTGGATCTCTAACACAATGCAGGGTCCAGAGCACAACTCGGTCACCATACCCTGAAAAATCCAAGCAAAAATGTAACAACAGACTCTCAGCTCCTGTGACACTTGTTTGTTTTTGTTTTTTTAATCAATCCCTTAGATCTTCTCATGCTAAGCCTTTGTTTTTGTGTAACCAAATGTAGCAGCAAGCATGACAGCCATGATGGCACAACACTGTCATGGCTACACTTACAGGATATTCCGTGACGACGCCTTTGTAGATCTCGTAGAATTCCTCTGCGTTCGCCCGGTCCATGTTAAACTAAATATATGAAAACGAAAAGGTTAAAAAACATTAAAAAAAGAAATTAAAAAGAGGCAAAATGTCAACTAGATTATGAAGCCTAAAGAGGAGAACACAGAATTAAGAAAACAAAGAACGTGTATTAATCAGATGGAAACGCTTCCTTCTTAAGGGCGTCAGCAGCTTTTAAACAAGCTCAAAAACACATATCATCACAAATATTAGGATATGTAAAACGGGTAGCTACAATTTTTGTCAGAAATTAGATCTGGCCTTTGACTGGGCCATTCTAAAGACATGGACAACAAATAAGCCCATAAGCTCTGGTGTATGTTTAGGTTTATTTTCTTGCTCATGTTGCTCTGCAGCTTTCAGCAGGTTTTCAACCAGATTTCTCCTTTGTTTACAGTCATGTGCAACATTATTGACACTATGGGCAGATGCAAGTACAAACGAATCTTTTCATTTTATCAACACGTTTCTTCTCACACTACAACCTCATCACCACAGATAAATCACCAGATAAAACACCAGGGGAAACATAAAGAAGCTCAGCAATTATAGGAATTGACTGCCGTATTGCCACTTAAGAGTTTTCTATTGATTATTGATAAATATGTAAATAATTCTTCACGTACCTTTATTTTTTTGCATACCAAAGTCCGTTTTACACCGTTTATATTGTCATTTGACAAATGTTTCTCTCACTTGTTTGTTTTTTGTTTTTTTTTGCTTAATGAAAATAATTTTAAATCAAAGGACATTAAATCAGAGGGTGTGAGTAATGTGTGTCGAATGATTACCATTTCAAGAGCAGAGATTTTAAAACGAGCTTCATGTATGGAGTTCAGGATCTTCCCAGTCAGACCTGTGAACACACCACAGACATTCAGGAAGCTCACACCGATTTAAACATGCTCGTTTGAGTTCAAATGACCCGAATGTCATCCGGATGATACGTCTAAAAAGAGAGCAATATGGAGAAAAATCTGGGCAGAATTGTGTAAACCGGAACTATTAATAATTATCAGAACTTTACTTAATTGAACTTTTTTTCCAGGGTGGGAAAACAACACTCAACTTTACCGAAGGGCTAAATTAGAGATATTTGATCAGAACTAACATTTGCTGCTACTTAAAATGGAATAAAACAGAGATTAAGTTACAATGATGAGAGGCATGTTTGAAGGAATCTAGGAGTCCACTGCATCAACTATCAAGCATGGTGGTGGCTGCATCATGCTGAGGAGTTGTTCAGCTAACAATGGTGCTGATACATTTCACAAATGTAGGCAATACATCAGTTTAATTTATTGTGTAATGGTTTGATTAATCACTTATCGTGACAGGCTTAGTTCTAATGATCCCGAACACACATCGACCCGGTGTTGAAACGGAACAAGCCAGCTGAGCTTCTGGACTTCCTCCGACCTCAAACCTGCTAAAGAGTCACCTGCTCTGCATAAAAGCAGACAATTTCCATTAACTCCACTATTACTGATGGAAAAGGCAGGTGATGTATCCAGTCAGGCTGTTCATTTTGCACACGAAAACATGAGTGGGAAGGGTATTTAAATTTGACACATGTGCGTAGTATACAAATCAATAACATCAGATGATGGGTGTACGTAAACCTCTGACAGGCAACGCAGTGACCTCAGTTTCTCCTTTAGATGAGGGCTTCCCAACATACACGCAGACCAAACCATCATTTTCAGTCTAGTCACCCTTTCCGACAGAGATTCTGAGCTGTGTGAGTCGAGTCGCCGTGGCTGTACATTAGTGCAAAAATGCTGCAGCGGTGAAGGCACATCGGTAACATTGAAGGTCAGACTGTCTCAGACTCTTATTTGAATGAAGGCGCCCCTCTCACAATCTCAGTCTCCCATCCTGATCAAAAGTAGCCGGTGTACTCATCCGACAAGACAGTTCCCATTAACTCAGAAAGCTGCGGCGTGCAGACGTGACTTTCATGTTGGACCAGGTGCTGCAGCGAGCATCGATAAATTCCCGTCTGGTTCCGTCACAGCCGAGATATGTGCGTTAGGTAATAAACCACCCTCTCCCCTCCGCCCCCTGGAGTCCTCTTTGCCCTCCCCAGGCAGCAGCCAGCCCAGAATAAGCGCGGCTCCCTGAAGCAGCTGCTGCTGTTGCTAGGAGATCCCATTCCGGGTGCCTGGCAACAGAAGCTTCTCTATTCCGGTCATGTCTGGGTGCGTTTTCAGTCACAACTTCCTTCATGGATAACTGGGATAGGCCAGGCTCTGAAGGCGTAGCTGCCACGTAAATTAGGAACTTGTAGTTGATCCCCGGGGGAAAATCACAGCAAGTATTTAGGTACTATTTGTTCTCAGGAGAGCAAATTGTTCAGCCTGGTTTACTATTCTTGGCTCAGACCAAATATCTCACAGCTCTGACAGTAAATCCTTTCTAGTCTCGTTTCAAACAGCAAAAGTGCATTTGAATGAACTCCTGTTTGTAAACACACAAAAACTCGCGTAAGACAGCGAATTAAATCGAAAAGCCAAACCCTAAGCTAATGAGTTCGAGCCATTTTCCCATTTGGAAGAATGAAATAGATGAAGGACTTTGCTTTGCTGCCGTCGTGAACAGATGGAATCGCTGTTTAAGTCAGAGAGAGCACACCTGCTTCCAGGTAAACTCCGCCTGCGCCGCCAAACCACAGAGAGGCCAGGGAAAGTTTAAGGTTACACCCTGGTGAGATTGTGGCATTATGAACTCACGCCGCTTTAGAAGCAACCAAATAAAATGTTGGGGTTTTTTTTTTAAAAAGAAGGAAAAAAAGAATAAGATGAAGAGAGAAGAGTTAAAATGTCCTCGACAAATTTGTTGCAACGGATTTCACCTTTTGTACAAATCAGTACAGAAAGTGATTTCCTTGAAAGTATTCTCAACCCTTGAATTTTTTCACATTCTTCTATCCACAAACTTGGAATGGACTTTGAAGGGGTTTCGTGGAATAGAGCATCACGAAGCAGTGCAGACCTCTCAAGTGGAACATTTTATACACGTCAAAATCTGTGCAAAATAGCACCTTTCAAGTCTCACCCTACATTCAGATTTGGATCCACGCTCGGACTTTAACACGTGAATATGCTTTGATCTAGCTGTTGAGAGTCACTGCTCTGTCTCAAGTCTTTAGCATCACATGTGTTGAGATTGGTCATAAATAATGTGTGATATTTCAAGAAGTCTTACAAGACACTGAAGGTCACTGAACTACAAATACAAGAGCAGCAAAAGAGAAACAATAAAACAGTGTCTTTCTTCTCGCAACTTTTCCACAAAGTACTTTTTGATAGGAATATGTTGTCAGCAGATTTCTCCTTCTAAGCTGTGGATCACTGCAACTCCTCCAGACTTAACATGGAGTTAGGTTTAACTTTAACCGTCATCCTAACCCTAACCCTACCGCAAACCCTTCTCAGATGCTTCTCTTATTAATGCTCTCCTGGCCAAGTCTGGGCAGGTTTATAGTTGCGCCATAAACTTTCCTCTGTCATACAATCAAAGCTTGGTAGCACCTTGCTCCATCTTCATTGGTCTAACATAAAATCTTGATAGTGGTTGCCACAGGACAGAATAGCAAATGTAAGCAGAAGATATTAACCCTTTTCAAAGGTGCAGTGAATGATTAACACCATTAATCGCTGAGATAATTTATCAGGGAGTTGATTGCAAGCTTAACTCTGGCTCAACGAGATCTCACAAACTGTAAACAAAGAGTGCTCCGGCGTATGCATGTCCTTTCATTGCTTTCTCTCACAGCAAACATTTGAACATGTCCTGGCAGGCGCAGCACATGTGTGTCAGCAGAGGTTACATTAATGGTGGCTCTATTCCATCTAGGTGTGGCCAAAAGTCATGTTTGAAAAGAAGAGGGCTACACTCCCTCTAAGGTTGTAGGATGAAGGCTTCATCATGAAGTGTTGGTCTGAACTAAACCTCTAATGGATTATCAAGACTACTAATATATATTTTTATACTGTTTCTGTTCAATAAATAACATGCAGAACTATTTGAAGATGCAGCATATATACCTCTTCTGGAAAAAAAAGAAGTGGTTAAATAATGTCTGATTGAAACAACAGTTTCTATATAAGTTTAAAAAACAAGAAAAAATAAGACAGCCTGGTCTGAAACAGAACAGATAGCACTGAAGGTAAACCCCAGGAGGAAGATTTTTTTTATGGAACTAAGTAATAAATAAACATAGTGGGGTGCAGGAGAAACAAAAACCCCGCGGGTCTTTTCTTGGTCAACAGCTTTTGTGTGCTTACTTGGGCTCTGTCAGGAGAATTTCCCATTTCACAGGTCAGAGCCCCGGTGGCATGCTCCATGAACGGGGGATCAAGCCCGGGATTAGGATAAGTCCTGGGTCATTTTTGGTACCCAAGTAGTGTCTTTGCATGGCTCAAAAACTTTCAACAGCAATAGCTGCAGGGAGTTGTATGTAATACAGGACAGCTGTGTTACATATTCGCACAACACAAGGTAAAACCAAATAGTGCCAGTCAGAAGAGACGTCCAATTATTGTTGGCATGAATTCTATAGGTTTGGGCTCTTAATGGTGCGTTTGAAGCTAGCAGTAAAACTCAACAGTCACTTCTCTAAGCCTTAGCTAGCAGGTCATATGTTACAGTCTGAACAATTAGACCAGGAAATACTTAAGACTCCTTAAATACTTCAGAAGGGCCTGGACAAAATGGACTCTACAGAAGGGCCTGGACAAAATGGACTCTACAGCATAATAAAGCGTGTAAGGGTCAACGTCAATGACAGTTGAAGCTTGACCGAGGTTGGATCGTCCAAGAGGACGACAACCTCGAACCAAGCAGAAAATTCCAAGAGTTGTAAAAACGAAGGGGCGTACTTCAGTTTTACGAGAATTTTTTTTAACATAGCTTTTATATGTGATGACCTGACCTTCTGTTATGGCGTGAGGCTTGATGATGCAACACGTGCTGTCTTCGCAGACCGCTGTGTTGGCAGGACTGTGGCCTACCGTGGAAGGGAAAAAGAATTCGAGCTCCTGACAAAAACACAAACACATCACCGCAGGTTCACCATTATTTCTGGGAGCAAATATAACGGGCGACAAAGGCCCAGGCAAAGAGTGACTTCAGGCAAAACTTTTCTCACTCTTGCGGCGGCGGCGAGTGACTCAGAGCCGTGGCAAACGTTTTGGATGGCGTCGGTACCGAACTTGGCGCGGATGCTCTGCGGCGCCTCCTGTCGTGCCGCAGCGGAGTCCGCTGGTCCCAGGAGTGTCCTCCAGATGCACATGGCCTCGTCACCTGTCACCTCCATGGCGATCACAGGGCCCGAAATCATAAACTTGATCAAGTTGCTGCAAAATGGAGCAACGTTGAATTTAGCGCAGATGATTGAAATAGAAAAGTGGAACACATTGGAGTGTTTCGAATGTCACTGCAATGTCATTTGGATCATTATCGCCACTTCTGGCAATGGTCTTGTGCACAGAACCTGCAAATCATTTACATAGGCACTCACTTGAAGAAAGGCTTTGACTGATGTTCCACATAAAAGTCTGCCGCTTGGCTCCTGCAATGTAACAAAACCATAAACCAAAGTTAATCTGTGACCAAGTGATCTTGGACTTTTAAAGTGAACTCTGTGTACCAGATTAGAGTCATTAAGAGCGGTCAGAGATAATTCTGGGCTTTTGTCTTTTGGGAAATACCTCTGGACAGCAAGTGAAGCAGGACTTTATTAACAAGGTCATTATCTTACACACCTTTAGTTTTTTTGTTGCTGTTTTTTTTAACTTTGATAATATTAGTTTACTGTTGGCAGTTTAGGTAAGCTCTGAATTAAAGAGTAACCTTCAATTTAGTGTTTGAACAATTTACAGGATTTGAGTTAAATAGAACCTGTGGATGGATATTAAGTCAAGACCTCAAACATCCTGCTTCCTTTTCTAGCAGTATGGAAAAATCCATAAAAATCAGTTAAGGTATCAGGAAGAGAATTATGGATTTCCACAAGTCTGATTAACCTTTGGGTTCAAATGCCAAGCTCACTGTTCAAGCAAACATATGCTACAGCAAATAGCACAGGAACATCCACTAAACGTTCAGGAATCAGACGGGTCCTGATTTCCAGAGAAAATCCAGAGAAGCCAGTATACCAAAACAATTAGATTACAGTTTTCAAATGCTCTCAATGGTAAAGTCCAAATAACTAAAAAACTAAAGTTGTACAGAAACCGATATTAGGGTTGGGTTGAAAACAAATATCAAAATGATCTATCTGAGCAACATTTGCATCGTTGTTGAATAGAGCACCTTTAATATGCTGCGTAATCCTTCTTATTTTAGTCATTCTTGTCCCAGTTTTTTATGGATTGCCCAAATTCCTATAAATGGCCAAGTTGGTATTAATATAGGAGGAATGTCAAAGGTAACTCTGAATGAATTTTAAATCTCAACTCCCATTTGAGTGTGTGTCCACAGAACCATTTCAAGACATTCATCCCAACATGCTGGGCTCAAAAGAAGTAGCCAAACCAAAACACCTGTTTGTAGTGAAATATATAAGTGTCTTGGAAGTATGCAGTCAGCAACTGCTCAATAGTCATAAAACAGGTTGCAGAAAATTGGCTGGAAACCAGAATAAGCTCGACCCACAATGACTTTTTCCAATTTGTGGTCAAAATGTAAATCCTATCAGGTTGCTCTTTGGTGCACACCCGTCAAGTCTCCCATTTTGGGTGGGAAACTACTGTATTTTATCCCTCTGTTCCAGTGTGCTCCCGTAGTAGTATTTTTCTGTAAATATCCCATATTAGAGTGACTCACCTTCCCTTAACAGGAGTCACCTCCTTATCAAAGCTGTTAGTCTTTCTCCCCCTGCCCTTACCGCTCTTACGGTACTTTTCTTCACCCCTCTCCCCCTGGTCTGACGACGTCAGCGAACGGATAAAGATTTCCCTAATATTAAGTCCAAAACTTGACGGGGATAACTTAAAGGTTTTATCACAATATTTTGTGATATTATCATAATAATGATAGCAACGATAACTGTCACATCATCTGCACTTTACCATAATTGGACCTGCTGCTTCTTCTTTGGTGTGGTTGAGTGCCTTTAGTTAATTTTAGTTGTATATATTATTATTATTGTGTGTTTGTTTATTTAATATTGTATATTTTGACTTTTTGCACGGGAGTTGCAATAGAAATTTCGTTGAATCCTGTTCGATGACAATAAATGCTATTCTATTCTATTCTATTCTATTCTATTCTATTCTATGGTCCTACAAACAAATACTGCTCTTGAATAGCATTCTCATTTGTATTGCTGTAATGTATTTCTTTTAGGACAGGTCCCATAGAGATGTGTGATTTGTATCACTGCGGGCGTTAACTGTACTTTTGTTTTAATTGAGAAAATGCAGGAAATAGTAAAAATGATCAATGCCCACAACAGGGGAAGATCACACAGAAGCAGTTTTGCACCAGCTGCATCTAGTTACATCAATGTTTGAAAAGAGCAACGTCAGCTTAAGGCCTGGTGCTGACTGGTGTTAATCTTTTTCAAATCTATAGCTGTTTTGTTCAAATTGATTACCAATGAGCAGTTACACTTTAGACTGAACTCTGGTTGGACCCCAGCTAACCACCCCATCTACACAGATGTCGTTACTGTGAGAGGAAAACTCAAAGTTTCTTATTGTTGAGCGTCAGTGAAGCGTTTAAAAGGAAAAGTTTCAGTTTGATGCTTTGGAGCTTTCGATCTCTGTTTGTGATGAAACGTGCCAGATTGGCAGGACTTTGAATTCTGAGTTACAGATCGAGATTCGCTGGGAGATACGGAGCCTCACTCGAGAGAATAATAATAATAATAATAATAATAATAGTAATACAGCTATAGTTCTAAAAGCAGTGCTAATCATGCTACTCACTAAAATGAGAAGAACTTTTTTTATATTAGTAAATCAACTGTTTTAGTATGACACACCACTCATGCATGCTGGAATGTCACTTTTTATTTTAATATAACAAATTAATAGCCATCAGTAGCAGCAAGACCAACAAAAATATTTCACATGCAGTACTCATAGCATTTTAAATTAAAGTAAAAAAAATAAATAAATAGAACTCTTTCAGTGGCTCTTAATACTTGTTGCCACTTTTATCTCCAATTTTAAAGTAGAAATACAAAAAGGTCACAGTAGAGTATATTACCCTTATTTCACTTTGAAAAACACTTTTAAAAGTAAAGGAATACATGAAGGACATTTCGTTCAGTGTCCTCTTAAGTAAAAGTGAGCTATTAAAGGTTATCCTTACTGCCTTCAGGCTTCTACTAATTTGGTAATGATTACACCACCAATATGTAGGCGTAGCTTTTTTGCCTTTTGGCACGTCATTTGTCCGTTGCGCTGAAGAAAGTCATTCTTCTGATTACGTGAAGAAACAGTCAGCAAACAGCCTGCGTCTTCCTCTTGCACGAGACCGTGTCATAAATTTAAAGAATACAAAGAGTAGTAACAACGCGCTCATTAAACACCGGGTGGCAGAGTGACCTTACCATGTAAGCTGGGTCATTTTTGCTTTGGTCACAATCAGGTGGGCGGAGTAAATCAGCTCAAAGATATCGCCTATCTTGTTAAGCACATCTGGCTTCACCAGACCAAACGTTCTGGAACAAAGAAAGACAGAAACATGGGATGTGAGATTTTAGAGTCAGGCGACAATTTATTTATGTAGCAACGATTCGCTGCAAAAGTCGTGAGATGACACTTCACACATTCACAAACTAACATTCACAATATTGTATATTGAAATTCTTAGCTGGGAGCCATCCCTCCATCGTCTATGTTCCTATTATATTATTCTTACGGTTATTTTGATTTGATGCAGAAACCTGAACCACTGTCTCATTTTGGGGCCATTTTCTCATGAACCCAGTCACCAAAAATGTAGCAGAACATAATTTTGTTTTCAAATGCTCGATGCCAACAAATGCATAGAATCTGATGATTCTACAATTAGTCAAGTTTTTATATTAATCCAGGGGATTTAGCGTGACTGCCAATTTATGAGCTGTCTGCTATTGTTACTTTATTGTTTTTTTTTTACTTTCCATAATACAGCATGGTTTGTGGTTTAAGTTCCACAATATATTCATTTGACTTTAAAGCCAGTAATGACAAGCAGTGTGCATGTGAAGTCTGAGGTAAATTTTACACAGTTTACAAATAAAATAATGAAAAGTGTGGCAAGCTTTTTTTTACTCACCCGCCTTTGCCCTGATTCCACTAAATAAAAGTCACTGCGACACTACTGAGCTTATTTTGAGAAGAAAGTGGGCAAAAATGTCCGTTTCCAGGTGACCTGAGCAAGTTGAGAAGAATCCTATTCAACAGTTTGTGGACATAAGGTGACAACATGTGAAAAGGTTTTGTTTCTGCTAAAGATAAATGTATTAAAGTTTGTTATACTTCTGACATTATACTTCATGTCAGAAGTATAAAAGTTAATTAAAAAAAGTAAACACTTGCATCAATCTTTGATACCAAAGGCAGGGTACCATGTAAAGACGCACATATTGTTTAGCTTACAAATTACTGGTCGTGGATTATTATAAGGTCATTACCCTGCACACAATGGGGTTGATTGCTGTGAGGCACAGTGTGTACAGTTACTAAAGAGGATAAGAAAGATTTATTGCACGGCCAAAACAAGCGTACTTTTCTATTCTGCTGCCGAGTTTGTTTGCTGTGAACTGATCTCCGTAATCTATCAGTTTCAGCTGCCGTGAGAACACGGTCACCCGATTCCCCAAAAACAGGTCCTCCAGATGGAGGTCGTCATATTTCGTCTTTCTCAAAAACATCCTTTGGTACTTTAGGTCAAACTGGAAAAGAAGAAACATGTCAGTATTTGTTTTTTTTCTATAGACATTTACAAAAAGCTTGGGGAATTTAAAAAAAATAAAAAAATGAAGTGGTACCATTTCTACAGAGTTGTCTTTATGGTAGAAGAACAGTTGGTAGCGCCGCAGCAGGGCTGCAGTGGGATCATACCACTCTGTGAGAAAAGCATACCGGTCCTCCTAAAAAAAAGTTTACATATTTAAGATACGAATTAAAAACGACACAAGGACTTGGGGGCGGGGGACAAAAATCTACTTTCATACACTATTGTTTATTCTACTTCATGCATGTGTCTTGATTATGAAAGACCTACTTGGGTTAGATAACGCAACAAAGTCAACACCTGGTTTTTATTAGCCCTGCATGACCAGACCTAGCTTCAGCGCATTATGATAGCACCGACGACATGTTTGCATTGCCCTCAAGTGAAAACTTACTGATGTGACAAAGAAACAAATCTGAGCTTTTTCAATTAGGACAAAAATATCTGTAGTCACTTTCTATAGCGGATTAAACGATAAATCCAAGTTTTATGTCACAACTTGCATCAAGACATATAATCCCTGTATTGGATCACAGGAAGCGGATTTCCCATAATGATTAAGTTGGGCTTGTTTGAAACTGTGGGGGAAAAGTTTTCTGACTGTCTCCTGTATGTAAACAACTAAAGTCAAAACCTGGAATTGTTTAATATGATTGAAATTAGTCATTCTGAGAAAATAAGCTGAACAATGACGGTCTATAAGTTGACCTTGAACCTCCTGGTCTCAGCAGTAGGCGCTGCTCACTGAGGACTTTTGCCTTAGAAGTGTGAGCTGTTTGGCATCTCGCAATCTCTTTGTTAGCCATTTAATAGTTAACAAAGCTAAATAAAAAAACCAGCTATTAAACCAAACAACTTTGTTAGCTAGCTGCTAGCTAGCTACTATCAATCAAAGCTGTGTTAACTGGTTAATAGCTAAGAAAGAGAAGAGTGGTTGAATGTCCAGAGTGCTCTTATAAACTGGTATTAATGCAAATATGTGTGACCTTTATTGTATAGTACATATGAACTACAAAAATAGCAAAAGTAAAACTTTGCTATTTCTAGAACAGTATCATTCAAGAACTGCACCGCTGACAAAAGCAGCATGTTGGAGCTGCTCTGTTGTTATTTCTGACTTGATCTTTTTGTTGTCTTTGACTGAGAGATTGCATATTTGAATAATTATTCTATCTGGTTTTGAATCTTGTGCAGTAGGGAAGATTTTGTTGCTCTTACTTTTTTTTAAAACATTTTTTATAACTTTTGAACAGATGTAATGATATGTAACTGAGGCAAAAATATATAATTTTTACAACTGGGAGCAGCTTATTAGCATTGCAAAAGCTAACATAATAAATATTATAAAGCTCCTAGCATGTAGTGACAGTCAGGAGACTGTCATAAAGCGACAGTGTCTTCAGTCAGAGGCCTCTTCACATTCACTGCAACACTGACTGTTAGTGGAGACTCTGAAAGTACTTGTATGAGATGAGTTTTTGGATAGATAAAAAACTCATCTTAATTAAAGTATCTTCGAACTTAATTAAAGTTCGAAGATACTTTAATTAAGTATCTTCGAACTTAATTAAATTCTCTTCTTTCCTGACAAGAAAAATATTCTTCAATAATAAGCTTCCAACATTCTCAGATAGCAGTGGCATGAACCATCTTTTTTTTTTAATATATATATAATTTTGACTGATGGACTAAGAAAACTACATTTTGTTTACTTATTGAGTGCTGTGTCACTCAGCAGCGGTGTCCTAAAAGAGTTGTGCGTCACCACTGATAGTGAAATGTCCATAATTAGGAGATGCTTTGAAGATTTTACACCAAAATCTAAACTATAATTGAACATAAATGCAAGAAATTTATGAGCATTAAGAGTAGTTTAGTCGAAGCTTTAGCTAACAGTTTTAGCATTTAATGGGTAATGCAATAGAAATGTTCAACTACTGGAAGCATTTAGTGACAAAGAAACGTGCAGGTATTCATTATTTGCGCTGCTGTGACTGCTAATACTAACACACGTCCTGAACGAGAGCGTCACATTAGGAGTCTGCTAGCCCTTGCTACGCTTATGTTGCTAAGCTAACGTTAGCAAAAAAATGACTATCTCGTTCGTTCAGTTTCTAAGCAAAGCTCTAGGTTACGAGGAGATTTAACATTAGTGTGATAAAAGTTACACGTGTTAACTCACCATTTGAAGACGTTAATTTTGTTCTATATGGCTCGATACGGTAGACTGCCGGTTTTGCCAAACGTTAGCTATGCTTCGTTGTTATAGCAACTGCAGGTCCAACTAGAGATGCGTTCATGGTCCATTACTGACGAATGCCATGTCTTAAAACCAACTTTTTTTTGTCATTTCAGTGGTCTCAAATTTTTTGATATAGTAATAATTATTATTATGATATCCTCCAAGCCTTAACCAGTTTCTCTCTTTTTTCTAAGCATCTTAATGTGTGAACTCAATTTCCACTGTCGCGCTGACTGGTTGAAACTATTGTCTCAAACGCCACCTAGTGGTGAATTTAAACCCGGTCGGTTCGTGTCATTTTCAAAAATATTCCGATTGTCACGAACACACCAGTTGACGTAAACCCGGAAAAACAACACAGTAAGAACTTTTACCCTCCTCTCACTAATTTCGCTCTCGTGTTTCTTGTAGAGCAATGGCTCATTTGAACAAAACGCTTCGTGCAATCCCCTCGTGTTTATAGTGTTCGCCATGGCTTCTTCTGCTTGCATAAAACGGATGATACTCAGTGATGGTCCCCTGATCTTGGACGGTGGACTTGCAACCGAACTAGAGGCGCGTGGAGCTGAACTTCAGGTGAACCCGAAACCAAACAAACACGAGACCTGCGTTTTCCTGAGTCCAAGTTCAATCAGTGAGCGGTGATAAACATTACCGCTCACTGATTGAACTCGAGGATGTCCATATTACCAGCTGATAAGTTGTTTAAATTCACAAATGCATGAATCAATTAATGAACCTTGAAGGTTAGAACTGCCCGTCAGCCATAGATCCTAGAGAGAAACACGGCGGAGGCAGTATCATGCTGTGGGAGCGCCTTTCTTCAACAGCAACAGAAAAAAAAACCCAATGACAATAGTAGCCTTTAAACTTCAATCGCATAATTAATGATGCTCAGTTTTGGATGAGAACAGCTGCTGTCATTGAAACCGAACTTGATCAATAATTAGCCCAATTTTCAATCGCTGTTTAAACACTGAAATTATATTTGAAATGTATCACAAGATATAACTTTGGATGTTGTCAATGAGGGTGAAAACAAGTCAGCCAAACACAGATGTATTTTTGAAAGCTGGATTGAAATTTTTTTTTTTCTGCAGGGGGATCCTTTATGGAGCGCCAGGCTTTTGCACACGAACCCCCAGGCAATAAAGGAGACTCATTACAGGTAGGTTTATAGGTAGTTCCACCAGGCGTTTGCTAACTGCTGCTGGCTAGTCTGAAGGAGCAGAGTTGGGGAGTTGGGGTGGACAGGGACAGCTTTGTGAGGAGGTTTGTGACTATTTGCCTGAGGAGGAGCTTCGTCCTTGAAGGCGGGGCCAGGTCCGCCCAGGTGTTTTCCACAGCTTAATTGTTTCCATGGAGATTAAAGAAGTTCTCAAGCATGCATGAAAGAATATCTAGGCAACGCTCCTCGTACATCTTCGACGAGGGAACACCATTGTAACGTGATGGAAAGCTCAAAAAGGTTGATTTTACATGACACTGCCCCTTTAAAGAACACAGTTCATTGTTCAATATGTTAAATTAGATCAAATAATCCATCCTCTTAACCTCAAAATGACAAATTACTAAACTCTAGCTGACTGGTCACATTTCTTAATGAAAGCCACCAAACGCCAACAGGTTTCTCCTCAGCGGCGCTGATGTCATCACGACTGCAACGTACCAGGCGAGCGTCCAGGGATTCATCAGCCACCTGGGCGTGAGCTGTGACCAGGCAAGAGAGCTGCTGATGTCCGGAGTTCATCTGGCCAAAGAGACGGTGGAGACTTTCCCCTCTGGTAACAAACCGCACCCTGTTCGGAAAAAAAAAAAAAATCAGACGCAAGCCGAGTTTATTGTGTCTGCATTTTTCCGCCAGGGGACAGAAGCCTGTTGGTGGCGGGCTCCGTTGGGCCCTACGGAGCCTTCCTCCACGATGGGTCAGAGTACAGCGGGGCGTACGCGCAGAGGATGAGCGTGGAAGTGAGTGGCTCCAGGCCGCGTTCTGACCGACTTCCTGTACATGTATCGGGGTGCAAGATTAAAAAACAAACAAAAAAAAAAACATAGTACAAAGCCTTACTTCCTTTATGAAGCTTAATGACATTTCATGTGATCGATTTAATAATGGAGCGGAATGGAGAATGGGCATTTATCATATAAATTATTATTTATTAAGTTAAGAATTTGAATTCATCACCAGCACAAAACCCAGTATTATCAGAAACGTTGTTTAATAAAAGAATCGACAGATTCAAAAATATAATTTAATATCTGCGGCTCAGTGAAATAAATCCCATTTCAAATGTTCTTACAGAGCGGTATTTGTGTTCTTCTGTGATCTTGTTTATCGTTTTTTAACATTTTTATCATTATCACAATAGTACCACAAAATATTGTGATAAAATGAAAAGTCCATATCATAACTTGAAAAAGCCGTTGTCGAATGCAGACATTAACCGTACGTACTATCAGAGAAGTGTCAACAAATGGCTAACCTGTTCTCCGTTCAGGAGCTCAAACTATGGCATAAGGCGCAGGTGGAGTGCTTGGCAGCAGCGGGGGCCGACCTCGTTGCCTTTGAGACCATCCCGAGTGTCAAAGAGGCCCAGGCCGTGGTGGAGCTGCTGAGGGAGTTCCCGGACTGCAACGCCTGGCTGTCGTTCTCCTGTAAGGTAACTGCCCGCGACCGCAGTCCCTTCACTTTCACCGCTTCAGGTACTAAAGTTAGAAACCGGTGACCAGGCACAAAATCTGCAGTGATAAGACTCAGACCTGAACCTTCAGAGACGCATAAAGACGGTTGCAAAGACGGCCTTCCGTCACCGGGAGAACATTTGCAGGACAAGAGGACCAAAAATAGAGAAGCGGCATTCAGCCTGGAACAAACATCCAGAAAACTGCAAAACTGTTGAAACAGTGCTGCATTTGGTTCATAGTGACTGGATGAAAAAAGATGGAGCCCACTGGAAAAACAAAAAGACTTCTGACATTTTCACTCAGGATTTTGTCTTTGATGTCAGAATTCCTGGTGGCTCATAAACAATTTGAACAGTTCTGATTCTGAGAAAAACAAACAAACGTCAGAATAAACAGCAAGTGACAAAATGTAATGTCTGCTGTTTGTTTCACAATTGCTTACTGCATTATGTTTTTATAGCAAGACTTTGAACTGTCTTGCTGCTGAAATGTGTTACACAAATGAACTTGATTTAACTTTTCATCCCCCAAAAAAATCCTCTGTTTTTTTTTTTTTTTTTTTTCCCCCTCACCAAAACATCCCCAGGACGAGAAGCACATTTCGGACGGCACCCCGTTCGTGGACGCCGTTCGGCTCGCCTGCAGGTCGCCCCAGCTGCTCGCCGTGGGAGTCAATTGCTGCCATCCGGCGATGGTGGAGCCGCTGCTGGACTCGGCCAGGGCGGCCCGGGGCCCCGGCGTGAGCTGGGTGGTGTACCCAAACAGCGGGGAGGAGTGGGACGCCGAGCAGGGGTGAGAGAGTCTGCTGCTGGTGGTTCTGCTTTTCTGTCGCTCCAAGCTTCTGCTCTCACCGAAACCGCCCGGGTTTCCTTTTTCGTACGAAGATGGCAGAGGTCAGAGCGGACAGCAGGATGGACGCCTGAGCTCAGCGGCGCCTGGCTGAAGCAGGGAGCCGCTTTGTTAGGTGAGGTCCGTCGCTTTCCCACGTGACGTTTCGCCGCGTCTCCTCTTAGCTCCATCTCCGTGCGCTGCAGGGGGCTGCTGCCGCATCGGACCGGCTCAGATCGCGGCGTTGAGGCAGCAGCTGAAAGGGAGCAGCGCGTCTTCGTCAGATCCGGCCAACGGCAGCACATAAAGAACGTTTATGATCCCGTCAGAGCCCCTCCTGCTGCAAAACCCGTAAAAACTCAAAGCTCTCATTCATTGTGTCGGATTAACTTCAATAAAGTGGTATTTGGTGAAACAGTGGTCTGCGTTTGGGCAGGCAGCGCACCTTGTACAGCTGTCTGAGTCTCTGGCTGTAACTAAGAGGGGATGAACAGATTAGGGTAATGGAAAGGAGGCCTTCCGACTTGAAAGACTTGGAATTCATCACCAGAGATAAATATTGAGAGATGTCTTCCTTCATCAAAAACAAACCTTTTATTCAAAATTAAACCCATCAGGATTATAAATAAATCAGAATAGTTTGGTCAAGAGCTTGTTCTTTGTTGATTTTCATGGCAGAACAACAGTATAAGTCTCTTTACGCACGAACCTGGTTAAGACATCTTCCTGTTTACTTTCCACTATACAAGTCTGCACTGTTTTGCATTCATTGGTCTAACATAAAATCTCAGTATAATGCACTGTTGTAGCCAGGTGTGAATACTTCTGCACGGCACTGTCACTTGTAGAGAGAGAAATGGGACAGCTTCATGGTGTTTTTAAAAAAATTAAATAAAATCAAGATTTTATTGTAAAATAACTAGGAGAATCCCATATGAACAGGCTTGCTTAATCACGTCTGTGTTAGCTGAAGCACAGATGGCTGCAAACCAAACCGTGTTCACAGAAATTAACAACGTGAGGATCACATTTTTAAAGAGATGTGACACATATGTCATATCTCTTAAAAAAAAAAAAAAAAAAAAAAAAAACACATGATGATCCACATATCTGTTACCAGAGGATTTCACGAATCACAGAACACTGGCCATTTTCACAACACTTTGACGACGCCATTTCCACTGAACTAAACCACTGCGAACCAGGAGGGAGACATTTCCGTTGTACAATAAACCCTGTTGGTGCGTCATTTCTGAACCAAACGGGATTGTGGGTAATGCTGTTGTGCGTTTTCTAGGCAGAACTGGCTCGATATGAAGCCAACAGTACCACTGCGGCTGGGTTGAGGTGAAGAGAAAGACCTGGAACATCTCCCTATGTGTCCACGAAAGAGATGATGGCTAAGAGCAGCAGTGGTGAATGTAGGCATTTTGCATTCAGGGGTGATTGAACTAAAAAAAAAAAACAAAAAAAAAAAGAGACTAGGGTTTAAAGTAAGTTTTTAAACCTTCACAAGTGTTGATGCAACTCGGTGTTTACTTCTGAAACTTTACCAAACACTTTTCATTGTAGATGGGAAAAAGACATTTCAGAGTAATCTCAGATTTTTTCTTTAAAAAAAAAATTAAGTTTTAAATTTCCTAGAAAAAAACTTGGAAATTTTGAGTTTCAAAAAGTGGAAAATGTTTGGCTTTTCAAACTCAGAATTTTCCTTGTTTTTTCTATAAATGTTCTGAGATTAATCTCAAAATTTGTGTTTTTTCTCTCAAAGTTTTGACATTTAGAATTCAGAAATTTCCTCATCTTTCAAGAACATTTCTGACATTACTCTGAAAACTCCTGACATGTTCTTTTCTCTCTCCATATACAATAGCCCTAATACACTGTTGTAGTAAATTCTTTCCTCCTCATAATTTGTCCTTATTTTTTATGAATGTTGCAAAAGCTGACCGTGTTGGCATCTGTATTTCCCATCCATCAACAGTTAAGATTGAGTCTTCATTCAGTAATACCTTTCACTCTGAAGAGTGTTGATGTCAGTGCAAGTTCCAAAGCTGATTGAAAAAAAGTTTGGATGTGATTTTCCAACCGGTTGGGCTTCTATTCGGACTGGAATTTGTCTTCTTCCAGTGGCTGGAGAAGTCTTGGTTCACCTCCTTCCCTTCATTTCCTTGTGGAAATCAAGGAAATCCTTTGGCAGTGCTACGATAAAATAGTGGAAACATATATTTTGAAGCTGCTGTAGCCTTTGCGCCACTCCCGAAACCGGAAATATAAAGTCACAGCTTCGGGGACTGTTTGCGCTTGTGGGGACACAAGACAGGAAAAGGGATTTTCGATGTGATGAGGTCAAAGGAATGCCCAACACCAACAAAAGCCTTTAAACTCTATTTAAATATTTCCAAAAACTACAAACAAAAACTGTTAATGAGTTGAACCAACACTTTGCAAGGTTTTTTAGGGGGCCTATCCTTTAGAATCGCCAGCTCTGGGTTTCGTCGTAGGTTGTCATGACGTCCCGCTCCTGCATGTCCACAGGAAGCGTCTCAGTCTGTGATGTCCTCCTCCAGGTCGCTCTCTGGGGAGCTCCTCTGTCTGTATTCTGTGGTGTTGGACAGCCGTTTCCAGCTGCAGGTGTCCTTCTGACTCCCCATGCTCTGCGAGCGCCCCAGCTGGGCCAGACGCTTGGACGGCGTCCTCTCCTCCGAGTCGTCGGCCACGCTGCCCTGGGCTCGGTCCGAGGCCGGCTGCTGGAAGTCGTGGCGCAGATTCTCCAGGTTTAGAGCCCACGGGCCGAGCTTCTGCCAGTTCACCCTCTGGAAGGCCATGATGCAGTGCAGGTTACCGCCCACCTGTCACACACGGTGTTCAGAGAGACATCACTTCAATGCAGAACGCAGCAGGGCTCCTACATCGTACCTCTGTTATTATTGGCTATTAAAGTTTGATTTAAAACAAGCAAACTCATTTTAGTATAGGAAGAACCAAAGATTATGGTGACTGAAAAGGAGGCCTATGCTCAACAAAAAATAAAAAAACAGTGGTAACAGAAAAAATGGTCAAAAAGAAGAAAAGAACAAAATAGGATAGGAAGAAAGTAAAGCAGGAAATAAAGAAATAAGGAAGACAAGGCAAAAAAGAAAGGAAAGTAGGATGGAAGGAAGGAAAAAAGGATAGAAACAAAGAAAGGAAGGAAGAAACGAAGGGAGCATAGTAGCAAATAAAAGGAAAAGGGAAAGAAGGAAGGAAAGACACAGGAAGGAAAAAAGGGGGAAAGGAAATTAGGTGGGAAGGAAGAGTCAAGCAAGTTGGACATGAAGGCAGGAAGTAGGACAGGATGTCAAACAGGCAGGAAAGAAGTCATGAAGGAAGGATGAAAGAGAGAAAAATACTTTCAATACTAATACAGATCTGATATTACGAATAATAACTAAAATCATTCGCAATATCCCGACTTATCCAGCCACTGCAGGAATGAAAATGTGTCAAGCGTTAGGACAGGAACCTTTTTGGTCTTGCGGTGCTGCAGTCCCCTCTCTGTGTGGCGGATGTCCAGGTACTCTGGATTCTGCGTGTTGAGGTCGGTCACAATGTCCATCCACCTGCACAGAGAAGGTCCTGATCAGCAGCTCAGCAACAGAGATGGTTACATTTCCCTACTGAACCGAAGAGAAACCTACTTTTTACAGTGGATCGCTGGATGTTTCCTACTGGGCTCGCCGATTAAGATCCAGTGCTCCATTTCATTTGTGGGCAGAGGACCCCTTCACACAGGAGACAAGCAGTCAGTCTCTTATGAGGATGTTGACCAAAGGTCTTTGGGTGGATCTTGGACTCAGAGAAGCTTTAAGTGATGGCATTCTTCTACAAGATGAAGAGTCACATGACCAACCTGTAGGCCTTTGCCGCTTTCAGTGGCGTAGCCTCGAAGCCCACTGGGCAGAAGTAATGGTTCTGACAGTGGTAAATGTAGGCCATGGACTCATCCTTCAAGCCTTGGGTCAGCTTCAACAGCGCACCTTCAGCTACAGAGCAGAGAGCAGCTGTTACTCCTCCAACACCACTCCTCCAGCAGGTATCCGCAGGCGGGAGACTCACCCGTTTCTCCAGCCGTCTTGTGTTTACCGTGAGGTTTGTACAAAATGTAGGAGCAACCTCGCACTCGGAAATTGTCGTTGAGTTGCCTGAACCACCTGTAAGGAGGAGTTGGGGACCGTTTAAGAAGGTCTAATACATACTTTTCTTTTGCTAAAAACTAGCAGGGAAACCATTTGTGTACCGCATCAACGTGGCATTCCCAGTGAAGGGGCCGAACTTGATGTCTTCGAAAGGCGGCTGGAAGCCCAGAATATGCAGCGCCTCCTCCTGAGAGATGGGTGAAAGGCTGGCCAAGCAAATAACGAACAGTACGTTAAACGGAGTTGACTGTTTTCACACATAAAACTTTCATATTCAGCAAGTACAACTCCATATTGCTTACACAACCAGGCAGCTTGTGAGGCGCAGCTTTCTCAAGATCGAGTAAACTTGGCATTCACCTAACAAGTACATACTGACCAGGACCAACGAAAAATGAGTGAAATATTCTAAAAAGTTTCTACCTGAATGGATTCCCCTATTATTTCTTTTTCACATACAACCGAAATCGCTTTACTTTGGATTGATGCTGCTGAGTAGTTCCAACTGTTAACTCAATGGAAATGTCATGACCCAGAAAGAAAACCCCCATAATTTATCGTCTAGCGTCAATCATCACTGCCCAAAAGAGATCTCTATACTTCACAGTGACATGGCTGGATTTGGTTACAAGTAGTTTGGTTTTCAAGCAGTTTAAGGTTCTTCTTACTCCTGCTTTTATGCCCTCCATATTGGTTCAACAGGATAAAGAGCTAGGCTCACGGAGGAGCATTTAACAACAGCATGCCGATGTTGTTGTCTTATTGTTTGAACTCAGGACTAACCCTGATGGTCCATAGTCTTCATTTTAATTTTGCGTAGATTCAAGGCTTCCTGAGTCAAGATGTGACAGTGTCTCTGCCCACAGACTTGGTCTTGGATTAGCAGTCACCCCGCTGTTTGCCAGATTAGTGACTTTTTCGGTCAATTTAGCGCACTCACTACAAAAAAAATTGGAATCGGCAGGTCTGGGTTCTAAAAATGCATCTGAGCATAATTCGGGTCTTCTTGATGCAAAGCTGACTTGATTAGATATTGAAAGTACGGACGGGATTCAGGAGTCTAACACTAAACGAGACCGGAGCGACTCAAGCCGCTCACCTTCCTGCACCCAGAGTGCTGTACAGGAAGTTCCAACAGGACACCAGAGAGGAGATGCCACAAGACGTCTTGTACTGCGGCCGGCTGATGCAGTACCTGCAGGAACAGAGACGTAAAGGGTTAACATCACGGAGAGACGTCGTCTCACACGAAGCAGGTAGAGCGGCTCAAATTCTGACCTGCGGTTCACACCTCTGACCCCTGTCAGCACTAATGATTCTCATAAACCTGCTTTAAGGTTTCTAGGAAATTATGCAAATGAAGCTTTTTTTTGTCTCCTGCAAAATGAAATCGGCCTCCCGTCTGTTTCCATGAAAGGTCGCAGGGTAGTAGCTGCAAAACCAATGCTGCTTTATGGTTTTATATTTTTAAATGTTGGGGCTTGAAGAAACTCTAAGGTAATTTTGCATCACATCGATGTTCAACGGTGCATATCACCAAGAAAATACTATCACATTATGATACATGGTGGCGGCAGCAGCATCATGATCAGCAAAACAGGCAAAAGATTTCAGTCTCCAGGCTGGTAGAGACATCCCAAACAAAGACTTTCAGCTGGTTTTGTCTCAGAATAGCTGAATACATACAATATTTTTTCAGATGTTTTATTTGCAAAGGATTTTTGAGAACCATGCATCAGATTTTCTCCTCTTCACCAATTTTTGTTGGTCTGTCGCATCAAATTCCACCAAAATATCACAACGTTGGAGGCTTTAAGGAGGAAGTTTTGTGCATTTTTCAGGCACATGGTGCCATTTCATAGAACAATCAAGTAACTGTGTTAACTTCAGTTGTTATAAAATGCTGTACATATCAAATATGATTTCAAAGAAATGTTAACGCCTTGAAATTAGGCCTCTGTCACTTTAAAAACCTCTGCTCTTTCTGAGACTCCGCCTTCAGGAAGTCGTCACAACATGTCTCTGCTGGCTAGTCTGAAGGATCGGAGTGAGGAAACTGCAGCTGGGAGGAGGAGCTGCGTCTCAAAGGCGGAGCTAGGCCCAATCAGGTGTTTTTCACAGCTGAGCAGAAGTCATGGAAATCAAAGGATTTCTCACACATGCTTGAAAGAACCAAGATAAACACTCCAGTTATGTTTTGGATGAAGGAAAAACATTATAATGATGTGGAGCTAAAAAAAAAAAAAAAAAAGAAGTTGATTTTACATAATATTTCTCCTATAAATTGGCACAATGTGATACATTTTAAAGACCGTAACAGGATCTGCAAGTTTTCTGCTAAGACAACAAAGGAACAGAGTTCAATGTTACCATCTTCTGAGGTCCAGCACTTTCCTCTGTTTGATCTCCTCCAGTGATGCATGAACAGGAACATCCTGCAGATTCCTGCTGGGTCTGTCTGAGGCCCTCATCTTCTTAGAGCTGCATTTCTTCCCATTGCCTGAAAAAAATAGGGCACAAGATTACTGGATCACACACTGTCCAGTAAGAATAGAGTTGATATGGAAGTTGTTTAACTAGCTTAACGACCATACAGCCAATTAAAGTAGACAATGATGGTAAGCTTACTGGTTCTTATTTTCCTAGTGAATACAGTATTAAAGTCCGCTGTGTCAATCTCCCAGGCCAGAAGAGGCTTAGCGTGGCCGGAGGACATCTCATCCACGTCGCAGTCCCCGTCCGACCCCACGGGACCCCCTCCAGTGTGACCGCCGCTGAAGTCCGAGGAGGCTTTGGGCTTCCCGAGCGGGGCCCCGTCCTCCTGCTTGTTCCTGGCCACCTTCGGCGGGCAGCAGTACACGGAGGCCGCCTGGTTGAGCAAAGCGTAGTCGGAGCAGACCGTGTAGAACTTTTCCCGGGAGTGCGTGACCGGGCAGGTCCACTGTAGGTGCAGCTCAGCACTCGAAGCCCGCCTCAGCCTCGCGGCGTCCCGGGCCAGAGAGCCGATCAGCCCGTGGTCCTCCTCCTCCTCCCCATCCGCGGGCCTCTGCAGCTCCGACCGCTCCGCGGGCCGGGGGAGATTCGCTCCTTGACCTTCTGACGTGTTCGGCATCGGAGGATGCAGGCGTGCAGGCGACGGAGGACGGAGGCGAACGAGAATGAGGGCGTCTCCTCTGGGGACAACAGAGCAAAGCTGGAGGAAAGATGGAGGTGATGTGTCAGACTCCTCACGCTGAGGTTACTTTCAACACATGAAAACAGACCCGACCCGGTTGTTTATCGCACAGCAAAGCAATATAATGACAACAATTTAACAATACGTCACCTTTAACCCAAGTCGCGGATTAGGAAACGAGAGAAAGAGCCCGACTAGCCCGGCTGGTGTAGCTGTGCGGCTATTAAACATTAACTAAACATCATGTCACCTGTGAAGCCGCAGCTGAACGAGCGCAGCTACATCCCTCCTACTCTGGAGTTAGCTGGCAAAACCAATACCCTCTCGTCAGGCGTGGTGGGCTTTTTGTTCCCTCGGCTGTTTCTAGGGACCCCGGAGGTCAGCTAAGTGTTCGCCATTTTACATTGACATTTACCAAGCAATAAGTCCGCCACCGTAAACAATTAACGCTGAGAATCCTGTTACTTCGCCCCGCTGACCCGTATCTTCCTCCGGAGCAGGCTCCCAGGACCGTACCATTCTACAGACAAAATGGTGGGGGGAGCCGGACAAGTATCTCTGAATAAAATTAAGAATACGTGGGACAGGAATAATACACGCACATCTATCTAACATCTCAAGACTTTTTCGTTTGAATAATATGAATTTTTCATCACGTTGAATTTAAAAAAGGTGGTATTTGCACGTCACTGTGGTCGATTCTCACTCCCCGCCATCCGCTCGTGTTGCAGCGGTTCCACATTTTTAAACCAATCACAAGACAGAACTCAAGTGGGTGTTTAGACCATACATGCACTGAGGTAAGTCAGGTGTTTACTGGCAATACTTCTTAAACAGTGTTGGTATAGGATAGAACGTATTATACTTCCTCAAACAACTTCAAATTGGCAAAATGCTAAGTTTATTAACATTTTCAAGCTGCGGCACAGCAAATCATAATTTGTGAGAGCTCTCAGAGACTGGGTTCTGCTTACAATTATGCATCTGGACTTCTCGTCCATTTTTGTTAACATACAACCATAAACTGAAATGTATGTTATTGAAAGGAAAAACAATGCATAGATCCCAATTTATTTAGAAATAAAGTAACTTTTCAAGATTAGTCAGAATAAAATGCAGTAGACATTTTCACACAAAACACTTGATTTTTATTAGACAAAAAGTGGGAAATAATGCATTCAGTCATTTTCTTGCTACCTTTCAGTTATGTGGTGGTTTGTTAGTCTACATCTAAAATATGTGGATATTTATGGGCGCATAAATACATGAAGACTTTCGATGGATGCTTTTGCAAGGAAACGTAATGTAATGTAAAGTGACAATGTGTATCATGTTCTCTTTCATCTGTAAGGATTTTATCAGGAAATTGTAAATTAGTAGGTGTGACATCTTAGTGTGCCTGTGCAGAAAATCATTCCAACACTGGGATCAAACATTAGCTGCGTAACCAAAAAGACTACACTTGTGGTTTAATGTTTTATCAGACAGTGCACTCTTCAGTGACCTTCAAGGCCTCAGAGATCTAGGAAAGTTTTAAGCTCTTAAACTGTTGAGTCAAAACTTCTTTGGCGAGATAATGGACTAAAAATAAAGGTTGATGCATTTCCTGTCACTGTCAGTTGAAACAGTTAAATGGTCGATTTAAATCTAAATCTAGATTTAAATCTAAATCTACCATGTGTTTGCCGAGATGTGGGCACCTCCTCGCAGGCGGTGGCGTTGCACCAAGAACCACTGAAGGAAATGACAGAAGAACCTCAGAAGAAGACATTGTAAATGGAGTGGTGTCAGATTTTCAGCAGCCTGTGGGTTTCTTTTCTGTCTTTGGTAAAGGAGCTATAGCACTAGACTCATGGCACTAAACATGAGTTTAGTGCTATACCGGAATGCCCAGGTTGCTGTGGTCCGCATCCTGTCTGTGGAACGCGCTCCTGTCCACACACGCATTCAAAACCAGAGTTCACTTCAACCGAACTGAGATTTATATTTTCAGCCGATCAGAGGCCACGTCAGAAATTCACTTCGCATTCACAAACCGGACTTTCTCAGCAAACAAACTAGAGTTCTATGAAAGCGGATTAAACATGGCTGGTCTGAATGCGCCATAAGTGTTATATGATAAATGAACTTGGCATAGTGCATCCCATGACAGAGTGCTTTTTCAAGTATAGGTACCTTCGTCTGTAGTACATACAGAGTTGTGTGTCCATAAATTATTTTATGATGCCCCTAGCATCTTGACCCTCCCAGGCAACTGCTGATGTTTGCATAATTGTTTAGACTTAATTTGACAACGATTACATAAAACCTAGAATTCTTTCCTTTCCATGAATGTTTGCTTCATGTTTACACCTTTAAGATAAACTTTGAAAAATGACACCAATTTGGGGGGAGCTGTGGTGGCGCAGCACCACACCACGAATGATCCACGAATGGAGGCCTTAGTCCTCATGGCAGGAGTCGCAGGATCGATTTCCAGCCCAGGGACATTTGCTGCATGTTTTCGACTCCCTCTCCTTGCCCTCTTTCCTGTCGAACTACTTTCAAATGAAGGCCACTGGAGCCAACCCCCCCACTGATTTAGTTCTTGCTATGTTTTGTGTGTCCAGGATCGCAACAAGGTGAACCATGGCAAACAAGTTGGTGATCATCGACACAGACTGCGGCATCGACGACGCTCAGGCCGTAATGATGGCCTTGGCGGCGCCCAACCTGGAGGTCCTGGCCGTGACCTGCGTGTTTGGGAACGCCTCGGTGGAGAACGTGTGTCAGAACGTTTTACGGGTTCTCTCTGTCTGCGAGCGGCAGGGAGTACGTCTGCCGGAGCAGAACCTGAAGAAGAATTACAGTCCAATGTTTCAGATTAAAGGTTTAGAGTTCTGATGGCTTTCCATTTCCCGTCCTTTCCTGCAGATTCCAGTGTTTCAAGGCAGTGCAGGTCCTCTTGTTGGACTCAGTAGCCCATTCAGTGACCACTTTGGAGGTGACGGACTTGGGGATGTGATAGAGGACAAAGATCCTCAGTGGAAGGAGAAAATTCAGCAGGAGCACGCTGTCGATGCCATGATCAGACTGGCGTCTAAATATGAGAATCAGGTGAGAAGTCCCGGTATTTTTCTCTGTGTGTGGGCTACTCTGGCGCTTCTAAACCCTGAACCCCCACAGGTCTCCTTGGTGGCCCTGGGCCCGCTCACCAACCTGGCGCTGGCCGTCAGACTGGATCCACGTTTTCCCCAAAAGCTCAGAGAGCTCTTCATCATGGGAGGAAACATGGAGGGTAGGGGAGCAGGAGTCCAAATGCAGCCACGTGTGAGACGACTGGCCTCAAAACGCTGCTTTCTGTCACTGCAGGGAAGGGGAACGCGACCGTCTGTGCAGAGTTCAACTTTGCAATGGATCCAGAGTCAGCATACATTGTTCTAGAAGACTTCGTCTGCCCTACTTACCTCGCTACATGGGAATACTCAGGCAGAAATGCCCTGACTTGGGTAGGCTGGTCAAAGAATGTCTTGTTAAACGATTTTACGCTCCATAAGTGTTTCCTTTGCCATAAATAAGAAAAGTTCAAGGGGCATATTTGCGAGGTATTGCAAATGAAAACTAGACTGGATGATGATGTAACGATGGTATATTATGGGTATATAGATTTGAAAAGGAGTACATTTCTGCCCCAAAAACAAAAAAATCTACTTTTGAAACTCAAATGTTGAAATTAATCACAGATTAATATTTCTGTGATTAATATAAAAATTTGTTTTTCTCTCAAACTTTTGACATTTGGAATCATTTGGAACATTCCTAACTTTTATCTAAAAATGCCACAGTTTTTGGGGGGTTTTTTTTGGCAGAAATGTACTCCTCTCTTTTCAACCTGCATTTAAAGCGCAGTCGTGTGACCCGTCATGTGACCCGTTGTTTCACAGGAGTTCTTTGAAGAACTGGTCAACCAGGACTCCCCGGCGGCCCGCTTCATGAAGACGGTGACGTCAAAGTGCTGGGCCTACTCCAAAGAAGCCATGAAGAAAAAGAGAGACGTGCACTTCGGGCCTGGCTTCGTCTCTTACGACTCCTACGCCATGGCGGCCTGCGTGGACGGCAGCACGGTGCTGGAGAGCGTTGAGTGCCCGGTGCGCGTGGAGCTGCAGGGCTCCATGAGCCGCGGCATGTTGGTGCTGGACCGCACCGAGTCTCTGAAGAAGAGCCACGCTGTGAGGGTCATGACTAAATGTGACGTGGAGAAGTTTGGTCGGCTCCTAATGGACTCCCTCAAACAACCGCGGAGGAAGTGACCTGTTCTGCCGCAAGGTTTGTTTTTCTGCTGACAATGCCTTCAAAATTTACAAGGATAAAAAAATAGTTTTTTTTTTTTTTTTCTTTGTGTACCATCATCGTCTGGGTCAGAGTTTGGACCAATGCAACAAGGTCCTGCACATGAAGGCCCAATCATTACCACAGCGAATGCTCATTTTGTGTCATATTTGTAGGTTTGTAAATAATTGCGGGACCGTTTCATACAGGGAAATACGCTGAAAACCTAAAACAAACATGGGTCACCTTGAAAGACAAAATGTTGCGTTTCCTATTTCTAGTTAAACAAAATATAATATTTCAGTGAAAATAATCACCCTTAAAAAATATTTTTTTACAGTCTTAATCTGCCATGTTATTCTTAGAATTACTTGTTAAAGCCATTTCATTTAAAAAACTCTGGTGTTGGACACTTTATTTAAAAAAAAAATTCCAAGTGTCTTAAATATAACATAAGGATTTAAATCACATGTAAAAATTAATAAATAAATAAAAATCAGTTCTAGATGTTAAATTGTATCCAAGTTCTTCTACAAGTGATTCCAAGAGGTGTAGTTTTTCCTCAGTGCTCCAGCAGAGGGCAGCAGACACCCGGTAGCGCTGCAGCCGAAGCATGAATTGTTGCATCATTTATGCTGACATGTTTTTATCTCTTTGAGGAAGAGGAACAGCACAGAACCTACAGCTGCACCCTGGCAGCACCAGGCCAGATTCCAGACAGTATTTCATAAGCAAAAATCTAAAGATGTTTCCTCATAACCAGAGCAAGGCTGATGGGTTACTCTGCCCTCAAGTGCTTAAAGGACTTATTAAAATATCCCAGAGGAATGGGACATGCCTTCAGGAATTCAATGCATCATCAATTCTTCCCACCTTATTCTACAAAAACACAAAGAACTGATTATGATCAAATAAATGCACTTAAATGCACATAAAAGTACTGATGGAAAATGAAATGCAATTGTTGCTCCGTTTTTGTTTATTTGAGAGGATAAATCTTCTGTTTCTGTTCATAAACAAGGAATTGACTTTGGTTTCGCGTACAAAGTTTAAAAAGATAATATTTCGGAGTTGCAGACTGCTCTGGCTGCGAGGTGTTCATCACGTTCATAAAAGACAGATTGGGGGAAGAAACTGGCTGGTTTCTGCAATGACTGCCGACCTGAAGGTAAAAGGTTTAAGAAGCTTGTGTCCAGGATGTGTGGGGTCTGCAGAGAAGTTAGCACTCCTCTAGTTCTGTTCAAAATGACAGCGGTCCAACATTGCTAATCGGATCAGCCACGGTTTGAGAACGATTTCAAAACTTGGAATTTATAAGCGAAACTAGTCAAAAAGTCGAATAACAAAAAGAAATACAATAAAAAAATAGAGTTGTCCTCAATGACTTTATTCAGCCTGGGTAAAAAAAAACGTGAACCAGTAAGAGATGTCTCTGTGTTCCTGTAATCACTGACGTCTGATAAAGGTGAAGAAAATTTGATCCATTGTCAGCTTTTTTAAAAAAGTTTTTAATTTATTCATATCCGTGGTGTGATCATTTGTGCTGATGATTTGTCAGATTTGTAATCGACAAAACATTTAAAAACTGTTTCCAAAGCTGTACTTGTGATGCTCGAGGTGGATGATCACATTATGAACATATTCCTGTTATTCTAAGAAAATTCTTTGTACAAAAAAATTCAATTTAGTTTATCTATTTGGTGCCAATTCACAGCAAATGAATGGACACACTACAAAAAAAAAAAAAAAAGAATCAAGAGGAAAACCCAGATTTTCTGCTGAAATCCTTTAATTAAATTTGCAGACAAACAAAGGCGACAAGAATACAGTTCAAACCCCAAACTGAGGAATTTAGTTTTACTTGATCTCTAGACCAAATAATTCCACTTTGAAAATGGACAACATAAATGTTCCTAAAACTTTTATGGGATGGGTATAGAAAACAACCAAAATATCCAATACTAATCCAATTTTAGATTTATTTATTTTTTTAAAGATCCCTTCTGCTGAATAAAAAGCAAAGTGCAATGATCCCGATGTGAATGAATCTAAGTTTTGGCCTCTGAAACAAACCTCTTTTCTTTTTTAAATTAAGAAACCAATAAGAACTGAGCTGAAATGTGGCTTCAAATAAGTTACTTAATACTAAACCTTGAGCGGTTCTGCCACGTTTCTGAGAAGGAATGCAGCATTAATAGCCTTTCTATGCCATCTGCACACTGCAAAAACATTTTCATCTGGTTTCTAGTGCAAATATCTCGGTACGCTTGAAATAAGAAAAAACTAACTTACAAGCAACTTCTCAGCAAGATTTCTTCAATATTAAGAAATGATTGGCTCAAAACTTAACTCATCTTGCTGAAAAGTTACTTATAAGTTGTTGTTTTTTTGTATTCCAAGTATACAAAGATAGTTGCAATAGAAATCAGAACATTGTGTTTTTACAGTGCGCTTATTTCAGGGGTCTCCTGTTAAAACAAACCCAAATAAAAAGTTAGCATCCCTGCCCTCAGGAATAAAAAAGCTGCAGAGAAATAAACGTGGCGCTCATCCATGGCTCCCCGGGACGTTGCTGTCTGGAGGAGGGGGCGGGGCTTCTCATAGTAAAAGACTCGTTTAGCGTACAGGTAACTTTCGCCAGCTGCTGCTTAGTTGCCGGTATCAGAGGAGGTGGGCCAGGGCTCGGAGCTGCGCCTGCTCAGGGTCGGAAGCCACGCGCTCCAGGGGTTGAAGGTCCTGCTCATCTCCGAGGGAGTCGTTGGCGACTGCGACGGGGCGGCGGCGCCGCTCACCAGAGTGGTCAGAGCAGGCGAACCGGTCGACGGAGAGTATGAGTGCAGCGTGGAATCGGCGCCCGTTGACCAGATGGAGTTGCTGAAGGGCGTGGTGGCAGACCACGGGCTGCAAGTGCTTCCCAGGAAGGACTGTGGCAGAAACAACGGAACAAAAACAATGGAGTCACTGAACAGAGCGAGCCACGACGGTGACGGAAAGCGCCGCAGGGCGGGGAGCTTACGGCCGTCGGGGCGGTGGGCGAGCCGGAGCTGCTGGGCCAGGAGTGCAGGGAGTCGCTGCTGGGCATGTCCCAGATGGCCGGGGTGAACTCGGGCCAGCTCGGCTTAGGTTCTGAAGGCTTTGGGAGATTCATCCCACTGAAAACTAAAGCAGAAACACGAGAACGCATAGCGTGACTTTGGCTGGCTAACCATGTTAGGCAACATCCTGGTACTGGCTCGGGATCAGGCGTGTGACGTACCCTGCGTCAGGTTGAAGGAGCTGTTGGGTCCGAAAGCAGAGAAAGAGTTGTCAGATTTGTAGTTTGGACTGCTGGCCGTGTCAATCGGACTCCATAATCCAGAACTTCAGGAGGAAAGGGAGAAAAGGGAAGAAGAAAATTAGGAATGGTGAATAGATGCTTCTGACTGAATGTGTGTTTGTTTGTTTTTTCCTCCATACCTGTCTGAGCTGTCGCTTTCCACTGACATCATGTTGGCCAGAGTCTTGGCTTGGTTGTCGCCTTTTCCCAGGCCGGAACCGCCTGTAGAGAACAGTCAACCTTACTGCTGAGGCAATGCCTTCAATCATAGATTCAATTAGTGGAAACGCTCAAAATGAGACCCTCCCCCCCCCAAAAAACACGTTTTTCACGCACACAAAAAACCGTTGAGCATCAAACCGGTTTGTATAAAGCAGCACTGGCATCGCAGCAGCACACGATCCATCAAAAGTTGAGTTTGTCATTCAAAATGGTGGAATCTGTTGCTGTTCTGTAAAAACTCTGCATATATGCGTAGCCGCTTCCAAATACAAGGGTCATGTGTGATTTTCATTTAATTTCTTCGTTATTGGAAACGGCGCAATTGTGGATTTTCCAACATTTGTAACGGAAGCGCAGCTGCTGTCGGGGTTGAGTTACCGCGCTCGCTGCAAACTCACCTGGGCTTTTGTCGTAACCTGCGGCGACGGCGGCGAAGGTGGGGTTGCCGTTCTTGCCTGGGAGTGGCGCTCCAGCAGACGGCTTATTTCCCGGGGCCTTTTTCTGGTTCAGCTCACTGGGGACACAAAACAAAGGCAAGACTTTAGAAGAATGATCAAACTAATCCAGCATATTCATAAAGCAGTGTGTCGTAAAATCCCAAAGCCTAGATGCATCAAAAAATAGTAATGAAATAATTTTCAAATATAAAAGTAATTTTCAAATATAAAAGTATGCGTCTGCCCATCAAGGGATTATGATGGGGTTCATTTGTTCGTGCACATCGACCCGTTTCATCCCATTCTATTCACATTTAATTGTGCAGAAAACGTGATTATCTGAATGAATCAAACGTTCTCAAAGTAACCACCGTATTTGCAGATGGCGTCGAATGAAAAGGCAGCGTGTGGAAAGCACAAAAAGCAACCAGGCGCACAGAGAAAACTTTAGGAAACGACCAAGTTATCAGACACCATTAGCGGTTTGTGAACCAAGTCAATACGCTCATCTCTCCCTCTCACTACCAGTTATTAAAGAGAAAGCAACAAGTAAAAGGGGTTGGAGCTGAGGAGGAGATAATGTGCGTGGAAACCACATTCGTCAAAGTGGATGAAATGGCTTCTTCAGAAGCCAGACTGATGCATCAGGATGTGGCAACACAGAAATACAAGTCTGCTAATACAGGAAGTGGTCAGTGAGGCTTCAGTGTGGGTTTGTCTTTCTGCAGAACGCTGCTTTGTGTGCCACATAAAGCTGGGCTTTGTTTCTGACGTCTTTTCTCTTTCTTTGTTTAGGTCACTTAAAACGTTTTCCTGGAGCCATTTTTACATCTACAGTGACTTTTTTTTCCTTCTTTACAAACATCGTTGAAGCTCAGTCTGATTTTATGGAGAACATCCCTGAACATAAGGTTTTACGTCTTGCCACCAACTCTCGTCTGTTAGTTTAGGTCTGGCCTTTGACTAGGCCATTCGAGGAGCTTTCATATATTGGGAAATTTCTAGTAGTAAGAGTTCTGATTGATTTCGATCTCAATAAATTTCAGTTATTTATGGTAAATGAAAAACAAAACCTTTGATATTGTGGGAAATGTTAGTTTTTGCTATTTTCTCCAAGGTTTCTTTTAGAAGCGCATCAATAATGATCCGCTAATTCAAAAGTGTGATTAAATGCAGTTTCTATGTGATGATTAGATGATGTTAGTAGCTGTGTTTCCATGAATCATAAAACTGAGCAAATTGAAATTGTGAAAATAAACGTGCCTAATGGAAACATGGCAACAAAAAGTTGCGCTTTTTGTTACCATTCTTCGCGAGGATGATGGTTTTTCGGAAAATATGTATTTTGCAAAACTGCAATGGAAGCACCTTTTTCCACATAAAAGTCACATGATCTACAACTGGATGTTACTACTGGCAGAAACGACAAAGAAGGCGACAGGGAGTAGGAGGGCGATGTTTTTTTTTCATATAACGTGTAGCTTTCTCAGAAAAAGTTGTGCGTTTTGAATGTGTTAAATCCATAGCTCTCATGAAAAATCATCCACTATAATTTCATGTAGCCGCCACCAAGTATGAGGTTTGTGGCTTCGATGCCTGAATCAGACAGTAACGTCTCCTCAGATGATGAGCCCCAGTATCATGGCTGAATTATCAATATATCTCATATAACCGTTTACATCCGTCGCCACCATGATGTGGAATGACTTATCTCATAAACAAGCTTATTCACGTGCGATTTTAATTGCATTTCTTATTGGAAACCCTGTCAATGCAAAATGTTTTGTTTTAGCCCACATTAGCGGAATATGGACAAAGATGAATGATTTACTGCACAAACGCAGAAGGCCACGGACCTGGTGCTGTTCAGCACGCTGCTGTAGGTGCCTCGGGACAGTAAGCTGGGCGAGGTGGGCGGAGGGGAGCTGGTCCCCGCGGTGGACGACCGCTTCAGGAAAGGATCTGCGTTTAACGTCTGCAGGGAGATCTGCTGGAGGCTGTCTGCTTCTGAACATGGGAAAAAAAAAACAAGGGAAGAAAAGCGGTGAATGATTTGGAACTTGGACCGACTCCAGGAAGGATCAGGACAGTTTATAGTGTGCGCTCACGCATGCTGTTGATAGGAAGAGGGATGTCCCACTCGGGAGGAGCGTAGTCCTTCTCTCCCTCTGAGCTGCTGCTGTGGCCCAGCTCTGGGACGGAAGAGCTCGACGACAGCTTGGCTAAAAGCATGGGCCGTCCCTCGTCCGGCTTCCCGTCTACTGTCAAAGAAACGAAAACGGGTCACCAAACTAATCCCAAAGGAAACCGGGAGCAGAATGCGAACGCTCCGAACGCACGTCTTTGTTTCTGCGCCGGTCTCGTCTTTGAGATGAGGGGGTGAAGAGCTTTGGATGCGAAGCTCCGGCGCTGCTTGTTTTCCAGCGGCGTTACGTATGGAAGCTCCAGAGAACTGCAGCGATAAAGATTTGTCAAGAATGAACCAACGAAAGCGAACTCATTTTAGTAAAAGAAAAAAATAAATCAAACCTGGATTTCTCTGTTTGAGTCTCTTTCTTTGCAGCTTCTTGTTTTCTTTCTTTGGGTTTGCTTGAGAAATGTGAAGTTTCCTCTTTTGTCTTCCCAGGAGTTGTCGTCCTCCCTTTCTTTTTCACTGGTTCCTGTCAGAAATTATGCATTTAAGTGGATTTATGAAAATATTCACTCTGCGATTGAAACTGTATTATAGTACTCCAATGAAAAAATCCCAACTAATTTCTAGTTAAAATATTTTAATTTAGTCCTTTTCCCAGTGTACCGACTAAGGA